GACATCTTCTAATACTGTGTAGGTCTAAACACATGATAGCATTTTCTATGCACATCACATTTTCACTTGGCAGCCCCCCCCCCCCCCCCCCCCCCCCCCCCGTGCAACATCTTTGGTGATCTTCTTCTCAATATTTATTTACTGGTCGAGTTACAATATTAAATTTTGCTGGTTTTTTAGAATAACCAGATTTCAGAGAATTCACACTTTTCACAACGAAAAACTTCTTCATGTCCTTGCGCGATCGTCTCCAGCTCCAGCAGATATTGGGCGTCAGCGGCATTACACCGGCACTACCGGCGCAGTATAGCCACTACTGACGGCCGCACTAGCTGCACTGCGAGCTTCCGTTGTTAATGTATCGGTAATTACTCATAGCGATGGGAGAGAAAGTGCCATTTAAGTTCCATTTCATTGGTTTAAGGTTTGAAAATTGATACTTAATATTGTGTTAAAGTTATATCAGAAAAGATAATCTTTATTCCACGGGGGCGATTTTTAATTTTGCAATCGCCCCCGTGAGCAACCTGACGGGGGCGATTATGGAGCTCACGGGGGCGATTTGCCCACCGCCCCCGTGTATTTTGAGCGCTGCATGTACATGATAATAAGACTATAAAAATAGATTGTGACTACCGATATGATAACTGTCATAAAATACAGCTTAGTGCTTTTTATGGACAGTGTCAATCATGGACAGACTACACCCTAACAGAGCCATATCTTTTTCTTCTTTCTTTCATTTTCAGGTGACTCGCTACAAACTTCCCCACCAATGTATCTCTTTACAAATAAAGTGTAACTGACTGTGTACTCGAACTGTGTACCAACAATAAAAAGACCATTAATTGCAAACTTGCACTGGTACCTTTACACTTTGAAATATCGATTTATACTTTTATTCCCCTATAAAATTAATGTCAGCACCTACAATGTACCTACATGTACATGTACATCTTTTCCGCAATGCAACAATTCTCAGATACATTTAATTTAAACGAGTTTTTCTGGCCTATGGGTTCAGCAACATATTTGCTTTCAGTATGGCTATGAATGTACAGTGTTCCATATTGGTGTCATTACATAACTACATGTACTTTATATCAGATTTAAATATGACTTCTGTAAAAATATCTCTCTACAGAAATAACATCACAAGCTGACGAGTGATGGCAGAAAGTTTATAATATGAAAAATTCTTGTGAGTTGACTTGCTAATAATGCTAATAATGCTTATTTCCTTTTTAACACACATTTCTCTTTCCTTTTCTTCTTCTCAACCCCACATGCAGTTCATCATTTTGTATTATTTTCTGTACCCCTGATCTCTCACTTCTTTTTGTCATTGTCTACTCTTTGTATTATGATCGTGTTCTTCTGTAAAGTATTGTCTTGTCCCTTTCTCGTCTCTGTTGGCATCCCCCTTTTTCTTTCCCCTATTTTGTAGTTCCTTTTGTAGTTACAGATTAGTTAATTTAATTATTCATTATTCCTGAGTATTTGAGGTGTTCACACTTGTACAAGCATTGCTTTTTAGTGGACCCCTCTGTTTCCAACATGTATTTCTTACATTTGTTTTAAATGCTTATAATTGATTAGTAATGTTTTGTTGGAAACATGAATAAATTTGAGAAAAAAAATGAAAAACAAAATAATTAGATGCACTTGTACAGGTGTATAATGAAGTATTTTGGTGCCCAAAAGATCTCAAAGTCATGGTTCATCCATTTCATTTCTATCCTTTTCAATCATTGACAATTTCACTTACTTAACATTTCTTTTCTCCATATAATTTTCCTAGGTGATTTGTTCCTTCTTTATAGTACCATCAACTATTCATTATACTCAGACTCAGTCTGCAAACTAGATAAGGAAACAGCAATTGATGTTTAAAAACAAACCAAATCTAAGATAAGATAATTAAAGTGTCAAATTGACAAAACATGTATTTACACAATAGTTGAATATTATCTGTTCAGTGTTTGTTCTTGCTTCTTAAGTCTTAACTTATAATTAACTGAATGTTTACTTACAGATGTAGAATCAGTAGTAACTACTTAAAGATATTGTGGTACACAAATAAAGGTGACTTGTTCTTGTCCTCTTTACATAAAGACATATGTACATGTAATTCATCTAATAAGAATAAAAATCACTCTCAATTTTTCAAGTCACTGTTTGTTAGTTACATGTACATACAGCGGGATAATCTCTTCTCAATTATATATATATTTTGTACATGTATTTGTACTGGTAGACACCAGATAGTAACTACTGTAGACCGAGAGATAAAGTAGTAGACAAAGAAAGAGGAATTTTTCATTCTTACGCTTATCCTTGAACTGCTTTATACAGATATAATACATTAATAAATAGTTCTAATATGCATGATGCCACCCATAATTTACATTAATAAGATCTACATTCTATGTGCAAAGTGTTGTCTTAAAACATAAATTACAAAAAAGACTAAATTTATCAAACACAACCTTCCATGTTCTAAAAAACAAGGCAATTATTTCACACACAAATAGATAGAAAACCCAAAATAAGTAGATCTAGTACTGTACAGTATAGCAGAACAAATAAGAAACAGAACTTAAAATGTTTAAAAGACTGCATTTCTTGTTTCACTTTTATTCATATCTAGGCCTACAATTCCAGTGAAATAACAAGTTGCTTCTGTGTAAAATAAGTGCATGTACACACTATAGATACAATACGAGGCATTCCCAACCCATTGAACCATCATCACTGATTGTTAAGTAACAATGAGGGCATTCAGCCATGAATCATTGAACTGTTTTCTCACCGGAGTCTACAAACTACATTGTACATTGTACTGGAAACAGATTTGTATGTTGAGAAGTACCAGTATACTGTATAGAGAAAGCATATCCCTGGTATATTCACAATTTTCACATTTGAGTTGATGGGGAAGATGTTTAAAGGCAAAGACCAGTTTTGGAAATGCCCCAATTTCAAAAAATGAAATGGAAGCTCTTATTACCAATCATGTGAAAGAATATGTTTTGACTAATACATGATGATACAAATTTTGCCGAGAAACCGCCTACTAATTGATATATTTGGTAAATTAGTTTATCTATTGGTATGTGAGAGATAAACGCACATGTGCGTAGAGTCCCATACATCTTTCTGTGTACAGTGCTTTTAACTTTACGAAGACTCGGCCAAATTTCTTATCATTTTGATGATTCAAGAACCTTGCAGTACACACCAATACTTATATGCTAGATGATCAACCTTTTCTGATCGATTCCACAACGTTTCTTTCACAATGCAATCGCATGACCATAACTGGTCTTTATCTTTAAAGCTGTACACATGTATGTACATACTGTATACAATATGTACATGTACAAATGAAAGGATTTCTGCAAAGGAGCACACAATTTCATACCAAAAGTGAAATATCTAACAACATGAAGTGTAAACTGCTGTGTCATGGGGGATTTCACAAACAGCTGTATCCTCAGTTCTAGAAACAGATATTCTATCATGAAAATTAGATCATCCAATGTTGCAGATATAGAATGCCCAATATATCAATGCAACAAAGCATTTTAAGTACCAGTAAGAAAAATCACTCCTAAAAGTTCACTTGTGACAATTGTCCATAAACATAGTGGCATGGAACAGATTACTTTGCTTTTGTATTTACTACTTTATTTTTAATTATATTTCTATGTAATTGTATGGTAAACAAGGTCATGATTGATACCAGTGGTTGCCCTATAAACCTAAGCAACAACTTTTGTGTTGCATTAATTAAAAAAAATTGAACAAATTAAAGATAATTTGGGTAAACCAAATGTTTTAGTTGTACTGACAAGTTTCTTGATTGATATACATGTAGATTGAAGATACTACATGATGACTGTAGATGGATATTGATCAATGGCAGATGGGGCTGCTACACAAACCCCCTCCCAACCAGAAGCAGTTTTACACCCAAAACTGACACTATTTTTTTCTTTCAGATTTATGCCCACCCCCCCCCCCCTCCCCCTGTTCCTAGAGAGTCCTGGATCTGCCACATATGTACTTTCAGAAACATAAAGAATATTTATAAAATAAAAATAAGATGTGCAGGTGCAGGCAGGACTAGGACAGGAGTGGAAAACTGTACACAGGCAAGCTTGTTTCTGATTCAATCATTCACCCAACACAAACACATATATTTCCTACATTAATCCCTTTGGAAAATTCTATTCATATAAAAAATGCTAAATGGGTCTTAATTTTTCATGAAATTATAACAGCTCACATTTACACGATAAATTTAGACATCATTAAGTGTTGGGAACCCCAAATTCTGCAAAAATTTAACTTAAATTATATCATAATGTAAAAGAGAATTGCCATTAAAGACACATTTTTGCAACAAAAACAAAAAATGTGCTTGAAAAATTGAAGACAAATATTGATAAAAGAATACATAATTTGGGTTTTCCGTTGTATGCAGAAAACCGAAATTTTGTATTCTTTCATCAATATTCGACTTCAAACACATATGCTTTGGAAATTCTTACAGAAATGTGTCTTAAATGACATTCTCTTTCACATTATGATACAATTTAAGTGAACTTTTGCAATCAAAATAAATATAATTTAGACCTAAGCAAACCAGCCAAATAAAAAACAGTCACAGTGCATCACAAATAAAATATAAACATAAAGTCTAGTAACAACTAGGCCTACATTAGGTGTGGAAATGGAAATGAAGCTTTGCATACGTCAGTCAGCCAACTAACTGGTATAACTTTTATGTGTTTAAACATCTTATCTCTGAATCAAACACTGAACTAGACCTAGACGTCAGATCGATCAACTGACGTGAATCACATCACCGGCTAATACCACTCCATGTTAGCCCCAACTCCTGGCTTCACATCCTCGACAATTCCGCTGAAAACTCGCGGGGAGTCCAATGAAAGTTTTCACTCTTTTTCTGGTAGAAAAACAAATTTACTCACCATATTTTCCCGACGAATGGCCATGAGATGGTGTCTCTGGTGGATACTCTGCCAGTTCTTCCCTTGAAGCATGCTTGTCTTTCCCCATTTCAGAAATATCAACTTGTTAAGTGGAAGATCATATATACTCCAACCTTATAATTTTCACTATTCTGACAACTAAAAGTTAAATGCATTGCATTGCGCTATATGCATGCAGACATTTCATATGCAGCGCTAGCGTTCTCGATTGGTGGTTGTGCGCCGAATCCATACAATCAGCATAACAATGCCATTTGTAAACAATAAAGGGTGGAGCTTCGTACTCTATTCATGTCATGACGCACCTAAACAGAATAAAAGGCCAATCTGTTCGACTAGTACTAGTAGGCCTACATGTTGTTTGCAAATCTCTTTGTTAGCCTTGATACAATTTTCATAAAACATAATTCTAGAGTTATTCAAAGTTATTTCAAAGTCAATCTTTTTAATTCCACAATGTCTTTCTACCCTAGTCATCCTTTTAACTTCTTTTTTCAACTCATCACCGCTTCTCCGTATTGTGTGTATGTGAATTATTATTATTTATATTTTTTTTTAATTTCTCAATACTCCAATTCCTTAGCGTACATAACATAGCTGCATAGCATTTCCTGTTTCTACCAACTGCAAAATAATTATAACAAAGATTTATTGTCATTTGATAAACGGACATAAATACAACACATTTTATTGTTCATAATTTCACAATGTATAGGACTAAAATTTATCACACTAAGGAATTTTAACATAGTTGGAAATTATTAACGCACTACATAGTTATTACATCACTGCAACTATAGAGCAAACATTCCTTCTTTTTCAATGAGTTTCATGTTTCTCAACATATTATCATACATAACTGAAGTTATGAGTTTTCTTTTATTAAAAACACACAATCTACCCCCAAAACCCTCTCTCCTCCTCTCTAACTCCCTAGCCCCTCCCCTGCCCCTCCTCCGGCTCCTTTCGCTCCCCCTTCCCACCCCGTCTACTTGTTTTGATAGGGAATGCATTCTTGGACATGTTGCTTTGCCTTTATTCCACCTCTACCTTGCTTTCCCTAAAACTTCCAAATGTTCCCTTTTTATCAGATGCAGGGGAAATTTGTTTCTCATCAATGCCAAATTCCATTCCTCCAATTTAAAGATATATAGACCGGAAGTGGTAAAATTGCGGTTCAAGGGTTTTGGGTGCAAAATATACATTCAAAATTGTTTCAATATTGCCTTCAGAGGTTTAGATAGCAATACTTCATCCTAAATTCGTAAAAAAGCAAAAATATATGCCCAAATGTTCAAGTTGAAGTGCATTCGCGATATCTATCCAGGCCGGATCGATATGATAATTTACCAAATACATCAATTAGTAGGCGGTTTCCCGGCCAAAATTTGTATTATCACGTAATAGTCAAAACATATTCTTTCACATGATTGGTAATAAGAGCTTCCATTTCATTTTTTGAGTGGGGGCGTTCCCAAAACTAATCTGTATCTTTAAGGTAAGGAGCACTAATTTTTGTTTTCTTCCAAATTCGTGAGAAAATATTTAGCGCCAAATCAACACCTCCCCCCCCCCCCCCCCCTTTGCGCCAGAGGGGGGGGGGGCGTCTTCTTTTCTTTTTTCTTTTTTAATCTAAAAAGATTCGTGAAATTTACCTATTTTTTGGCTAGGGCTCCCTAACTCCGACACTGCCTCTGCGTACCCCTCCCCCCCCTCTCTCTCTCTCTCTCTCTCTCTCATCTTTTGCTAGCCCCAAATTGCTCTTATTTGTTGTCTTTTTCCCTACCCCTTCTTCCTCCTTCATGAGTTTGATTCCAGCCTTGATACTTGTTCCTTATACGAATTTTGGTATTTGTTTGTTAATTGTGTGTTTGTTGTTTCCTGGCAGATATTGGAATCGATGTCCATCTGAGTTTGAAGTATGGTTCAATAGTCCAAGTTGTTTTCATTTGAAGGATAATAACATATAAGTTGCAGCATTTCGGCTCATGCTGGCCCAGAAAAGGAGTAATACATTAATGCGTTCAACAAGCTGCATGAGTCAAGGGCGGATCCAGCCGGCGGCGGGGGCCCCAATCGTGGGAAAATATTTAGCGACGAATAGGCGTGGGGGGGGGGGGGGGTAATGAGCACTAATTGTTTTACATTTTATTTAATAACCCCCCTCCCCCTTTAGCAAACAAAAAATGTTAACTCTTTTATTACCAGGGGTAGGGCCCATGCCCCCCTGACCCCCTCTCCCTGAATCCGCCACTGGCATGAGTGTTAACTGAATAACCCTGTCCTTCTCATCAGTTTACAAGGAATTAGAACTCGCTGATACGATAATTGAGCAGCGCATAAAATTGGATTGAAGAGCGCCATCACCATCTGCAATCAACCAAAAAATATCCTATAAGGCAACATATTTATTTTCTTATATTTGTGATGGGTGCAAATCGTGGGAAAATATTTAGCGACGAATAAGCGTGGGGCGGGGTAATGAGCACTAATTGTTTAACATTTTATTTAATAACCCCCCCCCCCCCCCTTAGCAAACAAAAAATGTTAACTCTTTTATTACCAGGGGTGGGGCCCATGCCCCCCTGACCCCCTCTCCCTGAATCCGCCACTGGCATGAGTGTTAACTGAATAACCCTGTCCTTCTCATCAGTTTACAAGGAATTAGAACTCGCTGATACGATAATTGAGCAGCGCATAAAATTGGATTGAAGAGCGCCATCACCATCTGCAATCAACCAAAAAATATCCTATAAGGCAACATATTTATTTTCTTATATTCGTGATGGGCGGATAGGCGCCCCCCCCCCCCCCCCCCCCCCCCCCCTTTACGAAACCTTAAATGTGGATCACAGTCAGCTAAATAAGGTGTAGATTAACTCTTATGGAGACAAATGGGATTCTTACATGCAGAAAACCTAAAGTAGTGGGGAAATTGCTCTCAGCCCCCCCCCCCCCCCCCCCCCCCCCCCTTGGAGGAAACTGATAGGGGGATTCACACCATCCCCCTTTTCACAATGATACCCTTTGCCTCCCAAACGTCTCCAGGTGGATGGTTATATCCCAGGACAACACCTCTGAGGTCAATTACTAGTACCCACTAAGAACGATTACCCTATGATCTATGTTTAACAAGCTGTGCTTTTTTACAGACTCTTTTCCACATTTTTAAAAGTCTTTATAACTCTTTTATTCAATGAATTTATTAAAGTTGAAGATGAACTTGTTGCTACTGTTCATGAATGTAATGTTATCATGCAAGTGGAAATAAATAAATAAATCTTGAATCTTGAATCTTGAAAATGAGTGAGTCCGGGGGAGGGTGGGGTGGGGGGGGGGGGGTAATAATTTGTCCTCAGTAGTTGTGGGTTGATGACGAGGAATGTATTGGGATATCTGTCAAGGAAGTCGGTCTACAGTATACACAAATTCTTGATTAAATAATCATCACGTGTCCCGAAAGTGTAAAATCAGTAAACCTGCATTTTATAAAATAGTAGCGAACTAAAAGAAGCGAACTAAATTACACCATGTAGTAAGGCAGACAGGTCTTGTGCAAACTCGATTTCTTTCCGATGGCAATGCAAAGGTAATGGGTTCGATTCTAAGCTACTCCTTTTCCCAATTTATTTCTCTCTTTTTTCCATGATTATATTTGGCTTGCCATAATCTTCTCTTTTTTTAGGGGGAAGAGAGAGAGAGAGAGAGAGAGAGACAGAGAGAGACAGACAGACAGAGGGACAGAGACACAGAGAAAGAGACAGAGACAGAGAGACAGAGAGATACAGAGAGAGAGAGAGAGAGAGAGAGAGAGAGAGAGAAAATCATCTATTTACGAAGTGACTCTGGATTTGGAATAAACAATATCAAAACGCATGCTCATTATTATTACAAAATCTTCATCTTTCAGACTCGATCGACAACAGAAATTCATACTATAAAGAAGAAAAGATAAGTGTTATTTTGCATTATCATCACTATCTTCATTAGAGCATATACTTTCGCATATAATTAATTGCATTAGTGCAATGAATGTCTATTTAGATTTATTTTTTTTAAACGAAGATATGCATGCCTCTCCAAGGAAGGAGGGTGTTTCCTTTTCAATTCATTCATGGATGCTATTTCAGAAAGTTTGTTACGTAACTATTCAAATATCCCCCATGCCAGCTCGTGATAAAAGAATAAAGAAGCTAAGCTTACCTAATCATTGAAATAAGCTCTAGCTTAAAAGGGAGGTCTCCTGCACTTTTCAATTTTGAAACGATTCGTCATCTTGGCCTTTTTTTATTTTTATATTTAGGTATAATTATTTTATTATTTATGTTCTGATATGATAACCTATGTATTTTAACTTTTGTTCATAATATATATATATGTATCTGCTTTGTGTATTAATTTCTATTCTGTTGGAAAATGCAGAAATAAAATCAAACAAACAGACGAAACATTGATGCCAGGCTAAGTAATTCCACGCTTGCATACTGAATTAAATAGATCAGTTTTCTATTCATGCTATGTGGGGGAGCTATATACTATAGTGGCCTTTTTACATCACACTTCACTTCGGCCGCTTAGAAAAATCAATGATAATGATAATAAAGACGCATTAAAATGATAAGTAACTAAACAAATATTTTTAGGGGCATCTTGACAACATCGGATTATAAAAATAATCATCATCAAATTGTATCCACAAAAAACAAGATCAATAAATCTATGTACATGTGTTGTCAAGTTATTAGTCAGATCGAGCAATATCCTTAAATACACTCTGTAAACTTATTTTGTTTCGTAGATACTTATCAGTATTAGTCATTTGTATGTTTCATTTGTTCTATCATATATTGTAATACTTCATGTTTTGGATATTTGAGTGGAAAAACATATAAATCAAATCAAATCAAAAGTTTGTTTTAATTATTATGTCTACGTCTCTCCGACTCCTTCAACGACTGACATCATTAATAAGAAGAAAATAATTAGACATTATCAGTGAGGCACAACAGCCGTTTCCTTTTTTTCCTTCTTTGTTATCCCTTAAAAATAGACTGTATTTTAACCCCTTTAATCCATTTTATCTCACAGAGAGAAAGCATTTGAATGCTACTGTTTTAATTGATCTAGACAAAGGGAACGTATTCGAAGTACACGAAGGTCCAAAGGATACTTAAATCTCCATCAAACATAATTTCATTCAATACTTTAAAGGTAAAGACCAGTTATTGTCATGCGATTGCATTGTGAAAGAAACATTGTGGAATCGATCAGAAAAGGTTGATCATCTAGCATCTAGCATCTAGCATCTGCAAGGTTCTGGAATCATCAAAATGATAAGAAATTTGGCCCATTCTTCGTAAAGTTACAAGCACTATACACAGAAAGATTATCTCTCACAGACCATGAGAGAAACAAATTTACCAAATATATGAATTAGTAGGCGGTTTCCCGGCAAATTTTTTATCATCATGTATTAGTCAAAACATAATTCACATGATTGGTAATGAGAGCTTCCATTTCATTTTTTGAAATTGGGGCGTTTCCAATACTGGTCTTTACCTTTAAGTATGAATGCTATCACGGGAAAAGCGGATGTTTCGGGGAGATTATGTGAGGAAGCACCTGTGATAAAGGTTTGTGATGTGAAATAATATGCAAAAGGAGAGAAAACGATTTCCTCTATAAATATATATAGCATAGTTTGCTATCAAGGCTGGATTTCCAGTGTAATTCACGTGCGAAGAAAAGCCTTTATACTTACACACTCTTACATATCACTCGTTGTAGCATTATTTTCATTATGATATGCAGTTAATAAAAATATTGTTCCTTTAAAAATCTCTTTAATATGCACCATTTACTTCAAGTTCAAGTCCAATCTTTGTTTATTCAAAATTGGTATCTCCACTTATGAATGAATTTACAATACGTTTAGAGAAGAAATGCAATATTTATATATTTTTATAATTGCATATATAAATATTATGCATATTTTTTTCTTCTATGACTGCTTCACTTAAGGATTTTCGTTTTTGATGGATCATGCATCATGATCATACCCCTCCCCCATCCCCATAAGGTAAGGCACTTTGTGTTAATGAACAGCGGTATTCGTTATTAATAAGATATTTTCATTGGTATTGAAGCTCACATTTTAGATTATAGAGGTATGTAGTACAAAATTATTCTGTAATATGAACCCTTTAAATTCTGTAGATATAACAATTTTGGTGTCCCAAGTGTTTATCCATGATGCCCCAACCTTCTCTCTATATATTTTGTTTCACTTTCCGTGAATGAATATGAGGTTTATTTGAATGATTTTAAGATTAATGATTATTTTCATTTGTACTATAAACAATTTAGCTGTCTGTATATCAATTAAAAGATTGAAACCTAGATAAATAAACATGCCGAGGATAATTGGTTTGTATATATAGGTTACTGTATCGACTTATTTTGATTTAGAAATTAGTTGTTATGAGCCTTCCATTATAATTGTTATTGAATTGTTACAAGCGTAAACATTGCGGGGCCTCATGGAAGACCACCACTGTTGATGGAAATGTGCTACCCTGTATAAATATCAGACAATCTCGTAGTTGCAGGTAGGGAGAAAGCCCCACCAGTGGCGTACCTGGGGTACTCCGTCAGGGGGGGCAAGCGACCGAAACAAACAAAAAAGGCGATGCTAATTTTCACTTCTGGCGAGCGAGCGAGCGAGCAAAAAAAAATCTTTAAGTAACGTTTGGTATATAAACTGGTATTGTTGCAAGTTGGGGGTGGGAACATTCACTTGTTAGCAACGTTAATTTCATTTTTTTTGCAAACTAGTGTAGCGAGCAAGAAAAAAAATCACTTCTTTTTTAATAATTGCCACTTAAACTTGGTTCAATTGTCCCATGCAGGGCGCGGGAACAATATTGTGTTTAGGGTGATTGTTGCAGGTAGGGGGCGGGCACACTCGTGTTTAAGGCAATGTCAATCCCATTTTGGCGGGCAGGCAACCCCCTACATTTCTCTTTTTAATGATATTGTAGCAGGTTAGTGGTGGGCACATAATTCCACGAGCTAGCGAGCGTAGCGAGCGAAAAAAAAAATCACTTTTCTTTTATAGGGAAAATATGGTACATAAAACTTGGGTTCATTGTTCCATGTCAGGGACGTGATTATTAAAAGCGGTGTTAATTCTATTTTGGCGAGCGAGCGTAGCGAGCGAGCAAAAAAAAATCACTTCTCTTTATAGGGAAAATATGGTATATAAACTTGGTTTAATTGTTCCATGTCAGGGACGTGATTATTAAAAGCGGTGTTATTTCTATTTTGGCGAGCGAGCGTAGCGAGCGAGCAAAATTTTTGTAATGATAATTGGTTCATAAATTTCAGATTTTTTTGTTGCAGGGCAGGGCTTACACAATCATGTCTAAGGTGATGTTAATTCCCTTTTGGCGAGCACGAGCACACCAAAACTTCTTTGAATAACGTTTCGTACATAATTATTAACTGGTTGTTGCAGGTTGGGGCGGGCACGTTAGCGGTGTCAATTCCATTTTGGCAAGCGAGCATAGCGAGCAAGCAAAAAAAATAAATTCTCTTTTAATAGAAATTAATAAATAAACTTGTTTTTATTGGTGCAGGTCAGGATGGACGCAATCGCGTTTAACGCGATTCAATTCCTTTTTGGCGAGAGGGCGAAAAAACTCTTCCATTTTTAATGATATTGTTGCAGGTCAAGGGTGGGCACAATTGTTTCCAAAGCAATGTCTATTCATTTTATTCGCGAGCGAGTGTAGCGAGCGAGAAAAATGAATTAGTCTCTTTTAGTAACATTTGGTACATATATTGTGTGTTATTGTTGCCATGGTTGCAGGTCGGGGCCCGTCGGGGCAGGCACAATTGTATTCTAGGCAATACTAATCCTTTTCTCTTTTCAGGGGGACGAGGAAGTGAAAACATTTAATACAAAATAGGCTAGCAAGCAGTTCGCGCCAGCGAAGAGTTTTAAATTTGTTATATCACTTATATTTTCCTATTTTCATTTGTTTTAATTTTTCAGGGCCGTATGCTAAATATTTTTCTGATGGGGGAAGGGGGAAAGATGCGTTAAAAGTTTTCGAAGAATCTCAAAAGCAAAAGGAGTGAAGGGAGTTCGAGCGACCAAACTGGTCATGAGGGTACTTTTGCATTTTCAAAAGTAGAATTGAAGGATTTGGTATAGGCCTACACTACATTTTCAGGAAAAAAACTGTACGATTTCAAAATATCTGGGGTCAACTGCCCCCCCCCCCTGGTGCTTACGGCCATGTTCTTTATTTCTTTTCCCCATTTGCATTACTTTCCTTTTCTTTTCCCTTTTTCTTCCTTTTCTCTTCTTCTTCCTTTTTTCTTTCCTTTTTTTCCTTTTTTCTCTTTCTTTCCTTTTTTCTTTCCTTTTCCTTTTTTCTTTTTCTCTCCTTTCCCTTTCTTTTCTTTTCTTTCCCCTTTTCTTTTTTCCCCTGGAGCCCGTCAGGGGGGGCACTCTGCCCCCCCTGCCCCCCCCATAGGTACGCCACTGAGCCCCACCCCCTCCCAAGACAGGAAAAGAAATCTCTTCCTAATTCTTTTTAAGACAATTTTCAAAGTCAAGATGACTAATTGACTATAATATATTACATTACATACATTTGTTTCTGCAATTAGTATCGAAAATAACAAAGTAGGCCTATATAATGCAAGTAGGCCTAAGTCAAATAATAATAATAACTTTCGATGTATTTAGCGCATAATTAATACTTAATTCTCTATGCGCTTTACATCAACAGTATGCTTTATACAACCAGGCTTTACAATCTACATCAACATAATAATATAAGTGGCCAAATAACACCACTACAAGAACACCGACACAAAACAAGAATAGACAGGTCACAGATAGACCGAATTTACTTGAAAAGTAAAAAAAAAAGGAAAGAGAAAATGATAAGAAAAGGGAAAGAGGAAGGAAAAGGGGTAAAAAGAAGGATTGAGAAAGAAATTCATTGTAACTATATCGTGATGCATTTACCGACAGACATTTTAGGGGGTGGCACACTCCCGCCCCCCCCCCCCCGCTCCCATTAGCGAAGCCGTGGGAATTAGTCCATCCTTTGTTAATTAATGGACGACATGGATATCAGAATGAATGAATAGAAGCCGAAATGATAACTATAAAGCCAGCATTATATTTACACCAAGTGGACATCAGACGAAGTATTATTAGCAAAATTGTTATAAGACTTACGAATTGCAAAGTGGACGTGTGTCAGGGAGTGGAATGGAACTCCGTTCATGGTTATTTATAGACCAAAAAGTTGCACGATGTACAAAATATAATTAGAACTATAGTAGACGACAATATAAGGGCATTAATCAGACAACTGGGAGAAGACTTCAAGTATTGGAGATTATAGACCGAATTGAATTTAGACCAGATGGCTATTGGCCTAAATGGTCATGAGACCAGCTGATACACGTATTAGCCTCCTCAGCTACAAACGACAATATCCAACCTGTTTTTTTTAATGAATCCCATGGGACCACCTTAACCCCCCTGGTGCCATATCACGCAATATAATGTAAATCGATCTTCATCACCACGATATATGGCGAGGTGTGGCCTTCAAGGTAGACCCACGGGCTGGGTGTCGACGGGGTGTCGACCATTATGGAAATATTCAGTAGACGAGCTGGTAATGTAGACAAAACTGCATTCGAGCAACCCCCCATGAACAATTACCCCCCAGGGTATCCGGAATTTTCAGCAAGGACAATTACCCACCCCGAACAAAAATTCTACCCCAGCGCGGGTAATTACCTCCGGCATAATTGCCACTCAAACCGACTTTCCATTCGTATAATACCCAGAGGTTTATCCTTCTACAGAAATAACCCTGTGGATTATTCCCTCCCGGATGCTCGTAATAAAATTGTCGCGTTTTTTCATATTGGGATATTATAATTTCGACAAGATGTGTTGTATGCGAGCATGCGTGGGTAGCAGACAGCTGCAACACAACAATGAGCCTACACTATACTGCTCGGGAGATATAGTAGTAGTAGTATAGTCGTAGTGAAATACATTCATCTGCGGAGAGTGTTTGTTAGAGAAAGGAATAGAGATTTCTCCTTCTTCTTCGCTACAGTACTATAATTCCTTGGTACCGGCCACCATCGGGTGTATTCTCGTCACGATTCTCGTACTGATGCTTTGCTGGAGTGGTTCTGAGCAGGTACGTACTACTATAACTCCAGGAAGCTCCAACACCGCGCCCGGCGCCGCAGGTTCCTGGAGTTAGTACTACTACAGAGTTCAGAGTATAATATATTGACTCAGTACGTGTAGTCAACTGCGGATGAAAGACAATTTTTTGCTGGATACATATCTGAGATCTGATTTCGACGAGAAGATGGAGTGGACGAAGACGGAGAGAGGAGGAAGGAAGCTGATACTTGATGGCTACATTTATGTGAAGAAGAAAAATCTAGCTGATGGTTGGGAAATCTATGAGTGTGAGCTGAGAAGAAATCGCCGTGTATGCAAGGCTAAGATTAAAGTCAAGGTTGGTTTAATTTTCTGTGTCCTTCTTCTTTTAATATTCTACTATTGTCCTATTTATTAAGTTGTCTAATTTTGTTTCACATTGTAATTTGTATTTAAGTGAATTATTCAAAACATGGCTCTCTTGTCTTGCAGTATTTGCGGTAAAGGTAAAGGTAAAGGAAAAGACTACAGTCTGTATAAAGAATACAGAAATACAGAATAGATAAATAAACATGATAAATATTATCAAATGGCCAAACATTTCTATCAAATCAATATACTTACAATTGTACTTGATACTACTATGGTATTATTAAGTACACATGTTCTGATAATACTGAGTAGGATCAGCATAGATGATTTAGGAAAAATAATGTCAATGACTCAAGGTGAATTGTAAATAAATTTGAAATTATAGTCTGATGGAGCCTGTACAAATTAAAACGAGCAGGTTATCTTTAATTATACACGCATCCCACTCGTTTTATAATTCTGATGCCTGATGGCAATGCCTTAACGTTCCCATTATCATTAACCATTGATTTTGTCCCCGTAAGGATAAACATTTACATCAAAACTTGACACTGACAGTCATAGAATGGAATACAATATGGCGGTCCATATAGTCGAAACTGAAACAATGGCAGAATCTTTGCAAAAAACTATTCGCTATAATAACCTGAATGATGTTGGTATACTTTGATAATTTGATTTATTTCTAAATTTATAACTTACAACAGTTCAGAAAAATAAAATAAGAGATCTTAAATCAGTTACTGCATCTCTTTAATTTAACATCATTTCTGTACATGTATGCTCTATTTCAATTATGTTGCAAAATAATTTTTTTTATTCTATAATTTCAAGTTTATAAATTGATTATATCTTTAAGTCATCGTAGATGAAAAAGCGTTAATACCGCTGTTTGGTTTTATGATTTTTGTTAACAATGTCAAAATTGAATCGCCTGATGTATAGTGTATCATTCTCTTTTAGACATCTGGTGAGGACGAATTCAAAGGGCGAACGGAGCACAACCACCCATCTGACCACGGCAAAGCTAATGCATACAAAGTGAAGGCTGCCATGAAGAGATTGGCAGTGGAAACAGACAAGAGTCCTCAGCAGATCCTCCTGGCCACCATGTACCAAGCAACCGATGAAGGTCTGATGGCCATGCCCAAACTGGACAACATCAGGAGATGTATTCGGAGGCAACGGCAGGATAGTCAGCAAGCCTTGAAAATGGATAGGATGGTTGAGGAGCTGGAGGTTTATGAACGACAGAGATCAATAAAGGCACAAGAAGATTTCAGGATACCACATCAGAACGGTCATGGTAGCCTTGCAATAGATGCAAGGATGGTCGAGGATCTGGGGGTTCTTGAAACCCAGAGAACATTCGCTTTAGGATTGGGCCTGATGGCACAGCCAGAACTGAACAACATTAACGGACTGTGTATCCGGAGGCAACTGCCGGTCGAGGATGTGGAAGCCACTGAAAGCCAGAGATCGGTATCACCAGGACAGGACATGATGGCACAGCCGGAACTGAATGATATTTGGAGCAGTATCAGGAGGCAGCAACGAGGAATCCACAAAACCTTTGTGGAGCGTAGGAATGCCGAGGACCACAGATCATCATTCCCAGCAGTGGAGAGTCATGTAACACCTCAAGGCTCGAGAAGTTCCCAAGGGCACCACCAAGACATCCAGGAAGCCTTGGCAATACATAGTAATACTGAGGAACAGGGTAATCCTGAAGGCCACAGATCATCATTTCCTGCAGCAGAGGGTCATATAGCACTTCCTGGCTTGAGGAGCACAGGAATGCACAACCAGGATATCAAAGAAACCTTGGCAATGCATCAGAACAAGGCCAAGGCCATTGAAGGCCACAGATCATCATTTCCTGCAGCAGAGGGTCATATAGCACTTCCAGACTTGAGAAGTATCAGGGGGCAGCACCAAGACATCCAGACAGCCTTTGGAATAAAATTGGAGATTGATGACCAGGAAGTTCTTGAAGGCCACAGATCATCATTTCCTGCAGCAGAGGATCATATCACACTTTCAGACTTCCAGAGAAGTACCAGGGGGCAGCACCAAGACATCCCGAAAGCCTTTGGAATAAAATTGGAGATTGAAGACCTGGATACTCCTGAAGGTCAAATGTTATCTTTGGCCAGAGAACAGTTATATAGCCATCACTGCAGCAGTTGACCCAGAAAAAAAATCTCCTTTTGTTAAAGTGCAAGTCCACTCCAAAAATAAGTTACTTTCAATAGAAGCAAACAAATCAGACAAACCAATTAAATAAAGTTTGAACAAAATCAGATAACTAAAGTTATGAATTTTGAATGACATGAAAATCACAAGATAAATTGGCAACTCACTCATGAGTCTGTGACGTCATTGCCTTACTTTCCACTGATTGTTTTCTTTATACAGGGCTGTATGAATTAGTGCTGTAGTCAAACGTTTAACCGTCCGGTATCCGACCGCCCATGGCGGATTCCGTTTTCAATTGGACGGTTTCGTTTTCCCGATTTTTTTTTTTTTTTTTTTTTTTTTTTGATTTTTTTTTTGATTTTTTTTTTTTTTTTTATAATTTTTTTTTTTTTTTTTTTTTTTTTTTTTTTTAAAGTTTCGATTTATGCCCCTCCACCTGGCACTATGCCTGGCAATGTCTCCCAGCTCAGTAATCTGTGTGTTGACTCACCACTCCAAAACTAGAACAACAAACCAATTTCATCTTGGTTTGAAAGTAATCTTTGTAATAGATCTCATCATCTCAATATGTAGTTTATAATAATAATTCATCCAACTTTTACACAAGGTTCTGTCCTAGGTCCTCTACTGTTTTTAATTTACATTAATGATCTTACACATTCTTCTAAAACAACATTGTTACTATTATTTGTGACAAGTTCACCAGCACAAATCGGCCCCTTTAAATGCACCTCGCAGTTAAATGAAAGTTGCCGACAGAGTCGGTAAAAAAATTAAAAAAAAAAAAAAAAAAAAAAAAAATAAATAAAAAAAAAATCTTTTTTTTTTTTTTTTTTTTTTTTTTTTTTTTTTAAATTTTTTTTTTTTAAATCGTTTAACCGAAAACCGTCCGGTTTTGACTGGCGGTTAAACGGAATTGGAGATATCCGTGATGTTACAGCACTAGTATGAATATACATTTCCAATTTTCCCCCTAAAAATCTTTTTTCCTCATGTGCACCAGTATCCAAGTTATATTGATAATATTATGTTTTTGTGTGGATGCACCAATATAGAGTAATTATTGTTTTCTGTTAAATCATTAAAAATGTGAATTTTCATAAACTATTTAATGTAAAAAGCAATGATTATGAATATACAATATTCAGAAAATAGTATCAACAGATTTTGATAAATTTCATGCATGCAATATGATACAAATCAGTAACCTGGGCAAAGGCATGGGGAAATCAAGTTTTGGGGGATAAAAAGGGAAATTACTGTAATGGGATAAAAAAAAAAATATATAAAGCAATTGATAAATAAGGTAGTGAGGCAATGACGTCACAAACTAAAAACCAAATTGGCAATTTGTGTAGTGATTTTTTAAGTTCCATAGTTCTTCATACTTTAAAAAAAATTCATAACTTCCTCATTTGTTATCTGATTTTACTCACTTTTGTTTGGCTCTATTTCTTCTTTTTTTCTGCATCTATGAAAAGCAAATTATTTTTGGAGTGAACGACCAGTAGGCCTTTAATTTTGCCTAAATTGCAGTTACATGTACAGGGTGTATACATATATTTGTAGCTTATAATAAAGCTACTTTTTACAGAATAACGGGGGCAGATGCAATAGTATACCATATATCGGTACATGTTCAAGCTTGAATCTCAATTTGCATTCAAGGATTTGACCTTGATTTATATCAAAATATGCTTCCCTTTGTGCGACACTATTGGAGCTGTGTTCTGTCATTTTCACATTGTTATGAAATACCAAATCATGAATTTGCTTTTCTGTACAAGGAAACAACTGGTTTAAGTGCACATATTATTTTGTTTGTGCCCCAGAAATTGAAAAATTATGCCGACTGATATTTCGTTCAAAGTATGAACCCCCCCCCCCCTGCGTACGCGCCTGATCCCAACACAACATGAGTTATGTAAATGAAATTGCCCTTGAGTTGATTTTTTAAAAGTCTTTTTGTGATTACTTCAAGATTCAAGATTATAGATTTCAAATTTATTCATGTTTCCAACAAAACATTACAAATCAATTATAAGCATTTAAAACAAATTTAAGAAATACATGTTGAAAACAGAGGGGTCCAAGGATTCAATAAAAGCCAAAAGCTCTTTGGGAATTTGCAATACCGGTATATACATATTCTTTACAAGTTTACGTCTTAGATATATGCCTCTTAATTTTTAATCTACACAGTAATTAAAAATCAATACTAGGTGCAAGTCAATTGTATAATCACATAATTTTTTTTATTCCAGTAACAAATGAAAAGATATTTAATACAAATTTCCATGCAAATGATATATGTTTAATAAATCATTTATCCACTGACATAAAATATGGGGAATGACAATGGTCCATACAGGTGAAGGGGAAGGGGAGTTAATAAGGATATTTAAAGGAAAACGGTATTACAAGTAGGAGTATAATATGCTTAATAACTAATCAATATTCTATACAAATTTCTCATGGAGTTCATGACATCTGTTTGTCTACCGGATGTTGGTGATCCAGGTGAACCATTTCCACTCCTTCTGTATTCTGTTCTTGTAAAGCTCATTCAGACAAGCAATTATGCCTACCACTACCAGTATGTGTTGTGTGCTACACAAAAACCTTTACTTATTACTATTATCATTATTTTTACTTTTCTGACACCCAATTGCTTAAGCATTGGATCGTCACAGTTCACAGTTCACAGTTCGTCACTGAATCCAATGACCGGGGTAATAATATATTTGTAAAGCGCTTAGAGACATTTGTATTAAGCGCTATATAAAAGCTAAATATTATTATTATTATTATTATTCATGTATTGAAACTTTAAATATGACAGTTCCCAATGTCCCAAGGTTGTGTAAGATTTCTGCTTTCTATAATTTTACAATGACATTGGATTGGAATACGCTCAAATTTATAACCTTTGCTTATTATTAATACTTTTCTGACACCTAATTGCTGAAGCATTTGATTGTCACAATGCATGTACATGTATTGAAACTTTAAATATGACAGTTACCAATGTTTCAAGATTGTGTGAGATCACACTATGACATTGGATTGGAATATGCTCAAATTTTTTACTAAATGATATTAGAAAGATTTACACATACTAATGATTGCCTAGGCATTTAAACAGTCGCAAAAATGTTGTTATAATGGTTATACAATTGTATGTATATTAAATAGCTTATTAACTTATAAGTGGTTTCCAGTTTTCATTTTTAATTTGGATACACATACATGTAATTTCTGAGCTGCCAGTTCTATTGGATATATGCTACATGCTCATTAAACCTCTAAGGTAATGGTTTAAATACACATTTAGGCCTGTATTGTACTAGAATGTAAACCTGACGGTAGGTTTAGGCTTTAAGGTTTAACAAAGGAAGTTCCAAGTTGTCCCTTGTTAAATGTGATCTTAGACCCAGGGTCAGGGGCCTGTTTCATAAAACTTGTTATCTATAACAACTGCTATGACAAATTTGCTCTCAGCCAATCAGATGCCATGATTTCAGTAGCTTATAACAGTAGCTTGTAACTTGTTATTGATGTCAAGTTTGCTCTCAGCCAATCAGATGCCATGATTTCAGTAGCTTATAACAGTAGCTTGTAACTTGTTAATGATATCAAGTTTGCTCTCAGCCAATCAGATGCCATGATTTCAGTAGCATATAACAGTAGCTTGTAACTTGTTAATGATATCAAGTTTGCTCTCAGCCAATCAAATGCCTTGATCTCAGTAGCTTATAACAGTAGCTTGTAACTTGTTAATGATATCAAGTTTGCTCTCAGCCAATCAGATGCCATGATTTCAGTAGCTTATAACAGTAGCTTGTAACTTGTTAATGATATCAAGTTTGCTCTCAGCCAATCAAATGCCTTGATCTCAGCAGCTTATAACAGTAGCTTGTAACTTGTTAATGATATCAAGTTTGCTCTCAGCCAATCAGATGCCATGATTTCAGTAGCTTATAACAGTAGCTTGTAACTTGTTAATGATATCAAGTTTGCTCTCAGCCAATCAAATGCCTTGATCTCAGTAGCTTATAACAGTAGCTTGTAACTTGTTATTGATGTCAAGTTTTATGAAACAGGGTCCAGGTTCTTTGGAAAAAGTTGAGTTCTGGGAAGAGGTGAAAAATAATTTGTGACCGTTATCATTGTTATTATGAAAGTGTGGAAGAACATCAGATAAAAAATGTTACCTAAAAAAGCAGATTCATTAATATGCCTTAATATTCTAAATATGGCATGTAACAGCATAACTATTGACAATTTTTTTTATGTCACATGTTCGTGTAGTCCCATATACATATTTCTGTGTACTGTGCTTGTGATTTTACCAAGACTGGGCCAAATTTCTTATCATTTTGATGATTCCAGAACCTTGCAGTACACACCAATACTTGTATGCTAGATGATCAACCTTTTCTGATCGATTCCACACTGTTTCTTTCACAATGCAAATTGCATGACCAGAACTCAACTTTATCTGTAACTGACTTACATGTAGTAGAATACAGACCTTTCTGTACAACTTGCTTTACAATGTAACATATACGGATATCCACATTCAACTGAGATTTGGCAAAATTGAATCCATTAAATGCATTAAAAGCCTAACAAAAAGCCTTAAAAAACAAAAAGCCTTAAAAAGCAAAAAAAACTTTGTTTTCTACACAGAGATACATGTGGGTACATTTGAATACCATTGTTATGAACTTTTATTTCATGTGCATAAATAACATAGAAAATTCCCTCTCCATTAAAGGAATCCGGTAACTTTGTGTCAGATTCTGAAACAAAATTCTGGATTTAGCTCATGCTGCATGATAATTATAAACCTTTAGGTCAGTCAGGAACCCCATGACTTTTACAAGCCGATCGCCTGTCTGATTATCAAGATATTTATGATTGGAATTCCAAATTTTGAAAACCGTTTGCCAAACGGTTTTCATAAAACTACAGTATATTGGGGAAAATGAGTACCGGTATGGTAAAACCTGTCACTCAAAGATTTTTACTTTTTTGAGGCACTTCTTGATCATTCTGAAGCGCAATTTTTTTTAGGGCTTCAATATTACACCATATCACATACACCGATAACACGTAGGGCTGTGTATCTCAGATTTTAACATTGTTAAACGATCCCTTTAAAGTAACATCACTTATTGTCTGTTTGGACTTTGGAGCCAACAGGGCTTTAAGTGTGTGTAAAATGATGTGAATTAACGCTCTCCTGGCTCCTAACAATCAGACAATCCAGACAAAGGTTTGAGAATAGTCAGAAATAAGACACAGAACTACACTATCAAATATAATATATCTCCTAATAAATAGGCTACATGACTGTATTCGAATTTTCTTGTGCACCTCGGAGTAGAATTGTCTAGATAGACGGCACTATATAAATGCCTATTGTTATTATTATTATTATTGTATAGCAAAATAATTGACTTTGTTACCTGATAAAATATTTCAGTCCCGAATCAAAACAACACAAGCACATATAGCACACTTTAACTTACATTGTAAATTGATTTATATGTTTATAAACAGAATATTGATGTACATCAATGAAGTATAATAAATACAATACAATACATGTTAACCCTCAGCAAATGAAACAAATACACAATAAATACAACATTGAAATATTTTGGTCTAAACAAACGTTACAATGCAATTGTCCTTAACATCAGAGAGGACTGAACTTTATGATCAATGATTACAGAGTATTGAGAGAAAACAGGATATAGTAAGGGGAAGTCCCCCTTACTTCCTCAGCAGGTGAAGAGGTGCACCTAGATACATCACAGAGTTGCAAAATTTTAATTGATTGAATTAAACTTTTAAAAATCATGATTTTCTTTAATTCCATTTTCTTATTTTTTTAAAACCGAATCCCCTCAAAAATTCACTGAGCTGTTTTATAAGTTATCATCAAAACCAATTTTAGTATGAGGGTGGACTTCCCCTTTAAGGACCAGATATAATTAACCGGGAGTTACCTTCCAGTGTGTCCAAGTAATTACAATTTGGTATTAAATGTTGAAGAATAAATTGTTAAATATATTGAATATGTGATATCAGTATAAAACCCCAATCATAAAAAAAGGAAAAAGCAAAACACAATTAGTGATTGATCACCTGTAAGACACACTGTGTATATAAATGAAGTACACACATTGTATGAGCAATAGTGATGATATACAAGTAGATACAGACAAAGATACAAGTACACTTACAAAAACCAATGCTACATCATATATGACACAAATGATATATATTTTCAGGTACAGAAACTAATGATACATGACATATGAACTAAAACAACAAAATGTGATGAAACAAAAACATGATAGCACAATCATATAATATCAACAGCATTGAGTAATTGCAGAACAAATAAGCACATACATTTTTAGACCCTGCAGTGCAAGGAAGAGCACCAAGAATAGATTATCAAAGAGTCAATATTTATGAAACAAGACAAATATAAGACATCACCACATCCAATTGAAACAAATCTGCCGATGTGATATAACTTCACACATTAAAAGATAATTAACTGTACTGCTGAAACAAAGGATACCATTTGTTTTATCTAATGAGAAATAAGAGGTGGCCTCAACTTTAGGAGCCCCATACGTGTCTTTGTACTGAAAATTACGCCAGAAAGGGAGAGGTGTCGGTATAATAAATCAGGCTTTCGCTTGAAAACTGGCGTTCTATTTTCAGATGATAAAAATAATGACTGTTTCTTAGGAAGTATTTTACCAGTTAAGCAACCAAAGTGGTTACTGTATTATCATTCAATTTCTCAAAATCTGTAATAATAACCTAAATAAACATAACAAAACTTTTACAAAAAGTTAAAATACACAACATGGTTAAGTCACATTTGAAAATAGAAGCTTTTGAAAATCTTTGATGAGCACAAGCACTATTCAAGCATTTTCCCTGCATGACAATAAAATCTTCAGATAATACAAAGAGTATAAAATACAGTTAGGTATGAAGAACTAAGGACTGATAATACAGAAAAGTTTCAATTTGTATTTGTTTAACAAGGCAAAGAAAATGCATGTGTCCTTTTTAATAGTATAATCAAAAACCTCTTTGTGCATCAAGAAAATCAAGGTGTATATAGAAGTATGATCAAAGTAAAAAAGAACAAAGTAACAATTACCAAGATTGTACAAGATACGATTAGCATTAAATGCTATTTTCTGGTCCCATTTATCCTTTCAATGTTAACCATTCACATTTGATTGTTATATTGATGTACTTTTGTTTAGATAATAAATTTCAAACTCTAACTCAAACATGTTTATGGCCCTATAATACTTAGATGCTGCTTATAAGTATCGGTGTGCCTGGTGATAAATCGTAGGCTTACTTTTCAGGATTCCTGAATCCTTCCCCCTATACATGGTGCAACCGTAAGCCTACCGTATACCTTTAATACTTATTGTGAAAAGTGCAACATTATTATTTCTCTGCCACCAGCAGAGAAGCCATAAGGCATTCAAGCAATCAAGAATGTCCTTCCTAGCTGGTATCCAATTATTACATGTGGGTAATGAGTGGCACATGTAGTAGAAAGATATCTTGCAAATTGGAAATTGCGGTGAGGTAATTTTTCTCATTTTGACCTTGACTGAAATTCATGTGGTTATTCATGAATTAATCCATTTCCCCCCAATAAACCAGGAAGAAAATGAAAATGTGACTACCTTATTGCACATACTAAAGCTGAATGAATTTGATCTACCCCAAATTTGAACAGGGATGATGATAATGATGAAGAAAAAAAACTGAATTGAGAATAGCATAAACTGTTAATGGCATTTACAGTGTATTAACCACCAATCGTAGTATACATGAATACATGATGTGCTATATGTATATGAGTTTGACATTCAATGCAAAATGGGTTCTTATATCATACTGACATACATGTATGGCCTTCACCTGAGAATAGATCAAATTAACACACACACACACACAACATTGTGCTTGAAATGAAAAGTGCTAAAATGTACTCCACAATGAGATGCTGAAAATTTCTATGTGTAGAATGAATTGCTTGAATTGTACATATATAGAAAGTTATTTGTGAAATTCATACAAGCATGATCATAATTGACATCAGTATGATTGCATTTCATTAGTGATCTGATCTGTGTATTGGAAATGTGTAAAAACAATCATCATATTCACCGTCAATACAATAAGTTTTATCAATTGATTTCATTATAATCAATATCATTCATACTATTTTCAATTATATAAGTCTATAAATATCTACATCTACATTACATATATAAGGTAAAGCTAATAATTAATATTTTACTGGCTATTAATCTTGCAAGTGATTTATGATTTTTACATCATTTATCTATTATTTCGCTACTGAAATACGGAGTGTATATACTCATATATATATATAAAGTTAGTAGTCTGCTTTGGAATCCTTTGGGAAATAGAAAAATTTGAATGTAATAAAGTACGCCGGCAAACATCTGAAACTTCAAAGGAATCGTGTTTTCATCCTTCACCTTGTTATGTATATATATATATATACAGTATTCTTTTTTAGTCTCACTGGCACCTTAGATTGGGAATCTAGATATTTTCACTCTGCAAATTCCAAGATTTGAAAGTATTGTGTTTAGAAAATCACCAAAGCAGACTCCTTATTATATATATGAATATATACAGACACACTTGTTAAGGCAATCAATTTATAAACATAAACATTCATTTGGCAAAAAGGAGATCGTACAAACTTCGAGATGCTGATAAGAGTGTCGCTCTTGCAGCATGAGCTGTTGGAATATATCTTTGGTACTTGAGGTATAGAGGCTGTTTGGTTGTGGACGGTGGGAGGGTGGGAAGCATTGCTCAGGAAGACTTGAGTTGAAGATCTTTGGCGTGTTGCGTTACTAGATGATTATCACCGTATGCGGTCTCTAGCAGGGGTATGGCCTGGAATGTATATAGAGACAGTATAGCAGGTGACAGTTGTGTTTTTTTCTTCTTGTGTTTAAAAAAAATGTTACTGTGGAGGTAGCTATGGCAACTATGTTCTAAAGTAAAGCATTTATTCTGCATTGCTTCTTAAATTCCAAGTGTAAAAATGGTATTTATTGCACATCCTTTCAAAATGGTGGTGGGCTGGAGTTTTCCCCAGAGATTAAAGTTTGGGAATACAACTTCTGCTGGCAAGCCTTAGTTGTATAGGAGAGGAGATACAGAAACAAAGAAGGAAACAGAAAACAAGTTTTGGAAGCAAGAGAGACAGCAACATACAAATAAACAGGAGATAAAAGTCACAAAAGACATGACAAGAGCCTAAAGTAAAATACAGCAAAAAGGGAAAAGGACAAAAGAGGGTTGCAGAAAGGAAAGAAAGAAAGAGAGAGAGAGAGAGAGAGAGAGAGAGAGAGAGAGAGAGGGGGGGGGGGGGACCGGGGGTAAGAAACACATTTTCTTACCTGTTCTAAGACTTCACATGTCTTGGTGTTATCTCCAAGGTTGTAATGAATGATACTCAGTTTCAGAAGAAAGAAGGCAATGTATGGGTCTTCACTGCTCAGATGCAACCTGCATGATAAAATATAATTGGATGATAATTAGTTTAGTGATCTCCTTAGCTATGGCATAAAATTATGCCATATTCTAACACATGCTAAGATAACAAACATCAGAACTTTTAACCCCTTCAAATTATGATATTTTTCAGGGAGAGAAGGGGCAGCCCAAGCAAATGTGCTGACATTTTGTACAGGAAGAGTATTTTCCCATACTTGCTCACAGAAGATACATGCACCAATAAAATCTCTCAATTCATTATGGGGGGGGGGGGGGGTGGACATTGGCACCGATGACTGCTCCAACCCTCCCTCTTTGGCCAATTGTTATGCCTTCTTATATATTCATTTTAAGAGAAACTTCCAGCAGCATGGATGTTTCACAAATAGCATGTACAGCAAGAGGATATGTGTATCCCTACTAAACAGGTGATATAAATCAGAACAAATTGATAATGAACAAAAATGAAAATGTAATAACATCATTAATTTATCCTGCAGATATGAATACTGCAAAAAATGTCAGCAGTACTTTATTTTTAAATATTGCCTGGCTGTCATTTTTGGGGGGTCTTATTTTACAGAGCATTCAAGTATATCAAACATTGTATATAGTTAACGAGCAAAGTAACCTAATTGATACAGGGGAGGAGTAGAATACATTAAAGGGATTGGGTAATTTTGTCTTAGATCTTTTAAAAAATCCTGGACTTAGCTCTTGCTGCAATGATAATTATAAACCTTTAGGTCATTCAGGAACCCCATAACTTTAACAAGTCGATCGCCTGTCTGATTAACAAGATATTTATGATTGGGAATCGAAACCAAATTTTGTGTTTTCCTAACAGTTTTCGTAACACTACAGTCTATTGGGGAAACGAGTATGGTAAAACTGGTCACTCAAAGATTTTTACTTTTTTGAGGCACTTCTTGATCTAATTTGAAGCGCAATTATTTTAGGGCTTCAATATTACACCATATCACAGACACTGATAACCAGTATGGCCGTGTATCTCAGATTTAACATTGTTAAACGGTGCCTTTAAGCATGAGTTTGTGATAGGTACGCTGTATTACCTCAGAGCCTCCAGGACTCCTTGGCTTGCCTCCAGTGCCTCCTTCCAATGACCATAGCAGGAGAACGTTCCCATGGCCTCCAGACGGATCCTCATCACACAGTGATGGGTCGGGTGGAGCAGTGTGGACTGCTCCCTGAGGCACTGCTTTAAGATGACTGCTAGTCGATTGTCATGTGATTACACAGGTTAAGGTCAAAGGGGAACTCTTCAATGAAACAAGGGAATGTTTAAATCCCCACTGCACTACTTATAGCTACTTGCGCCCTCTATATAGCAAACAATGCCTAATCGGTGCCTCTTGGTCCCCCATGATCCCCTTTTTCTAATGTTAATTGAGAGCTGATTTGATGAGATAACCACCTGTCAGCGACCTTGCAGGGAGGTCTAATCCCCCTGGCCAAACTAGTACAGACAGGCTTAAACTGTCCCATTTGATTTCAATTGATTTGACATGGTATTCAATTGTTTAAAGTTTAAAACAATTATAAAAACTGATTTGACATTTAAAAAAACAACATGAGATTTAAAAAAATACATACATATAAATGGTAATTGTAAAAAGCACAAATAACATCAAAATTTTGATCTGATTTAGGTTATGGTAGTAGAAAATGAAGATCTATACAATATGATTGTGATTGATTAAATTAGAGGTTACAAACAGTCAATACAATTCAAGGCAGATTGAATAAGTAGATAGTCATTACGATGATTACGGTATATGTTTTTTGTGATTCATATTCCAGACAAAAACACTTGCAAAAGAATAACACTTCCATTACAATTTGAAAATTAAACAAAGGTAAATACATAATGAGATATCAAAGCATAGGTGTCTAACAGTTAGATGCATCAGCAATGTTACATGTAAATCTTATTGCAAATGTTCTTTATTGTACATTTACACTGAAATTAATGCAGAAAAATTATATCATCACCTTCCACGATGGCTAAAAACTACAAAAGACCATGTGCTTGTAGAAAGTACTGGAAAACAAAAGATATATTCTTTAACTTTTTAAGAATCTGACATCACATTTACAAATATCATGTATTTTCTCATGTCCGATAGTCCTAAAAGATTATTCAAATATGAACAAACTAAAGGATATTTTCTGAGTTGGCCTCCACTGTGTCCCGGTGGTTCTTTTTAACTTCCTCTAGCACCTCCTCAGAAAAGGCTTCTACCCTGCTCACAGCAGTGGAATGTTCCAAGGAAGTTATTTCAGTATGGCAGGTAGTGCATATCTGGAAGAATCCATCTGATAAATGGTGGGGGGGGGGGGGGGGGGGGGAGGTTAAAAAAATGATATAATGCAGGAAAACAGAGCATTTCAAAATTAATAAATTTACTTAATAGTTCTAACAGGTGGTGTATTGTACGCATAACTTTTTAAAGGCCCACTGCAGTACTTGTAGCTACTTGCGTCCTCTATATAACAATCAATGCCTAATCGGTGACCATTGGTCCCCCATGGTCCCTTTTTCTTATGTTAATTAAGAGCTGAGTTGATGAGATAACCATCTGTCCAGTGACCTTGCAGGGCAGTCTAATCCCTCCTATAAACTAGTACAGATAAGCTTTAAAGTGTTCAGAGAGAGATTTGGAATACGCAGATTCAATGTTGTAGAAGAATATATTATTTTCCATGATATTTCATCTTCTTCAGCAGGTAACAGATCATGTTGAACTACGGTCAGTATGAAATAATTTTATTTACTCCTTAACGAGGGTTTAAAATCTCTCCCTTGAATTCAAGTGTTGAACCTTGTGTTTGAATTAGGAATGTCTACATTTTCTTTGAGAAACAGAAACACTTGCTTCTAAAGTTTATATCTGTGTTAGCTCATTTATGCCTAATTTATTAATGCATCAAAACATTTTAAAGGTAAAGACCAGTAATGGAAACGCCCCAATTTCAAAAAATGAAATGAAAGCTCTTATTACCAATCATGTGAAAGAGTATGTTTTGACTAATACATGATGATAACAATTTTGCCGGGAAACCGGCTACTAATTGATATATTTGGTTAATTAGTTTATCTATTGGTGTGTGAGGGATAAACGCATGTGTGCGTAGTCCCATATACATCTTTCTGTGTACAGTGCTTGTAACTTTACGAAGACTGGGCTAAATTTCTTGTCATTTTGATGATTCCAGAACCTGCAGTACACACCAATACTTATATGCTAGATGATCAACCTTTTCTGATCGATTCCACAATGTTTCTTTCACAATGCAATCGCATGACCATAAGTCAAAAATTCACTCTTGAAAATTCTGGTGTGAACATTTACCCCAAAGCATAGCGGCCTAAAAGGGGTTAACAAACAAACAAACATACACACAAACAAACAAACAAGTACCTTGAACAGGAAGAACAGGATCAAGGCAGCTTTCATTTGGACATTTGACACACAGCATAAGATTGTCCTGAGAGACAAAAAGCATGATACAAATTTGTGAAAATGGTGTTCATCTCACATATAAATAGCACACACAAGTAAACATAATGAATATGATAGGATACATTTTGACAACTCTAATACATGAAAGTAGTATAATAGTGTCATCTTTTAACAATCTTAATATACATATTTTAATATACTCACAGGATTACCTATAAATAAAAGACAGATAAAATGAGCTTTAAAGCCCATCACATAACTGTATACAATCCAACTATGACCAGATTTCTGACAAAAAAAAGTATCAGCAGTATGATATCAAGGATTATGAACTGTAAATATCTTTGAGTTTGCAGTAACAATTGTTATGTCACTGCATAGCTTTTGATGACTAGCTTTGAAGGAAAAAAATGCCTGAATTTAGGATTAGAAATGGTGATTGAATAATTCAAAATCTTCCTAATCAAATTTTCAAAATCTGTCTCTAATAGGGAGCTGATTAAGCCTTATCTTGGACTAGAAGGATAATAATGGCTCTTAATTTTTATTCTACTATTAAATGACCATTCAGCTAAATGCAATAATATGGCCACAATCTGAACATTAACAAAGGGGTTGTACATGTATGCATCCCATCCAAATTTACATCACATAACAGCTTTTCCTTGCAGTTAACAAAGCACATTCACAATTCCCTGCATATGTATTTGGGATACTTTAACAATATCAGACTGAAAAGGCGCAATGCCTCAGGTCCTGGGTTCAGCACCAAGTTGATGCTCTAGTGCCCTTTTGTAAGGCATTAATCCTGATTACCAAGTCCCTCGAAGAGGACTTAACGCTGTTGGTCCTCTGGTTGTGTATGTACAATCATACACATGCTTTCTTAGCAGTCAGGTAAAACCAACCAACCAACCTCCCCCCTCCCCACCCCCCTCCTCCAACAACAAAAAAATTAGAAAAGCTGTACAGCCAACATAAACACAGAACACCCCATCTTTTCTAGCAAAATAGATGAGACCTACATGTATAAACCACCTGTTGCTGCAAACCCATGCAATATCTTCACACACATGAGGAGCTTACCCTTGCAGAATCCAAACATCGAGGGCACTGGCAGGTGAAGCCATAGATCGATCTGAGTTTCTCTCGTCTTAGAGGAGAGGGTAAAAGGCTGCTCATGTAGCTGATACAACACTAGAAAGAAAGAAAGAAGATAAAAACAATAGCAAACAACACTTACCTCCAACATTGTACTATCAATACTGCTGAATAAGTCACTTTAAATACTTAATGCATACAATAAAAACTAGAAAGAATCATCTTGTACTGTATGTAGAAGGCTTCAAGATCAAAAGAATGCTAGTTAAACAAAAAACCCAAAATACATGAATATTCAGCTTCTGTGATTTTTTTGTTGTTGAATTTTGTTGATTTTTTTTTTTTTTGGGGGGGGGGGATGGGTAAAATATAATTCCACGTTTGATCCATTCACTTAGATTATAATGATGTTAAACTGCAAGAGAATCAAGTAAAACCAATAATCAGCTGGTTGTTTGTGTTTCGACAAACTCTTCAGATAAAAGTGCAATATGAGACTTATTATATTCAACATGTTCCATTCACATCACCACTATTGTTTATTATCATTTTTAAAAACTGGCCAATGGTTGCCATAAAAAATATTGTACTCTATTCTTCACATTGGGTGCATGTGTCACACACAACATGGCATTTCAGAGAGTTTAAATATATTTCAAGAAAATCAAAATTGTTTACCTCCTCTCCAATCTCTATCCTTTTGATGGCTCTAACGCTCAGTCTGCTGCCCTCAAACACAAAGGTGCAATTAGGCTCACAGCTATGGTTGAACATTGATGCTCTACAGAGAGATATTGGAAGAAGAAAAAAAAGGACAAAACAATGGATTTATAAAGACCAGTCCAATTGTTCCCACTTACAGTGTATTTGTATTATACTATATAATATATATCAATAAACATATCCATATCTGCAATTGTAATTATCTTCTAAAATTCTGTTCTGTGTAAAGCTCATAGAGGCACTTTGAGTATAATGAGCTAAAAAAGAATCTTATTACTCTTATTGTTGCTGCCAGAGCAAAAACAGTCACCTTAATTTATCTTACACCCTTTCAACACTGCTGTTACATTTTGCAGAGACCCATACAGAATATTGAATTGTTAAAAGTGTCAGAATCTCACCTAATATAAAGGGCCTCGCCAACGATAGTCCTTGTCATCTCGTCATACATGGAGAATGAATTGATAGTGAGCTTCTGATACGTGTCTAGAACCTCTTGGCTTCTGAAGGGAGAGAGATGGCTCCGGAGCTTACTCCTCCAGCCCTTCTCGTAACAGCGGAACAAACTCAGGAGGTGCTCCTGAGCCTTAGTGGAAAGCTGGACTAGAAAAGAGAATGCAATGCATGCCTTTTATCTAAAACAACCTTTTTTATACTTTTATTTTGAATTTCATTATAATTTGAATTTTGAAGAAGGATTTGAATAATCATTGCATAGTGTTCTTCCCAATGAATATCACATATGGTATCAATCAATTTTTTTATTTATTTACTTTTTTTTTTTTTGGGGGGGGGGGGGGGAGGTTGGGCTTCAAAGAGTAAAGTCAAAGGTAAATTCTCCTGAGCAAGAGTAAACTAGATGGAACTTATGATGCCTCAGCCATAGAGTAAAATCACGAACCAAAACAGAAGCGATTTTTCAAATTCAAGTTTAATTGTAATCCATTAACAGGTTCTCAGAATATTGTGATTACAAGCTATTTTTCATATACATGTACAGTATGACCCTTTTATCTTTGACCTCATGACTCTAAAATCTAATCAGTTCATTGGCTTTGCAAGATACATACATGTCTTTAGTTTGCTGGTAATCCGTCCATCGGTTCTAATAATAATGCAATCACAAGCTTTTTTGCATATAATTATCTTTGACCTCATGAACCCAAAATATAATAAATTCATTAGCTCTGCAAGATACATACATGACCTATGTTTGGCAGGAATCCATCAATCGGTTTTCGAGATAACACGATCACGAGAACGAGACGTACAGATAGTTTCAAAAGTGCTCAACCTTTGCTGTCTTAGGCATTCCTTGAAAGTATCTACTTTCTACATGCAAGTTTCTCTATTCTAAATAGATATTTGAAAATGTATCTTGTCCTTGCTTAGAGTACATTATCCCTCAACAAGTTAAAACTGCTACAAAACATTGACATATGTGCATACTGCTATATCATAACATAGCACAAGATGTAACAGATAAAACAAATCAAGCAAGCAAACTTACATGAACAAAGATCCCTGTATGAAGAAGGAAACTCACAAAGAGTCCCGTTGGATTTCTTTAACTCATAATTCTGGCAATGAGAAGAGAAAATCAAAATTTCTTTGAAAAACAGATTTTGGTTCACGAGGAGATGTTATATAAAATATGTTCATAAAACTTACTACTTTCTGAAGTAAAAATAAGATATAGACCTATATGTACTATAAAAAGGAGATAAGTAAAAAAAGATAAAGTAAGGATTGAAAAAGAAAGACATTAGTTTACAAAAAGAGATTACCAGTATATATTAAAGTGATAATAAACTTGATCATGATGAATGACTAGAGTGAAGTATACTGAAATAATATCCAGTTTAATCATCTTTAAAATCAAATTAACATTTTATGGTTGTTGGTTAATTATGGATAAGTCATTTGGTGCAGGTTCACAGATTTTGTTCTCTTTTTTTCTGGTATGTTACAATTACAACGTATTTGGTATAATTTAAGCACTAAAAAGGCAGTACCTGTAAGATATTACATTTTTTTTGTAAATACCTTAAATTCAAACATTGACTTTTTTTTAAATTTACAAATTAATGCTAAAATATCCTTCCAAAAGATTTATATGACAAGCTTTTGTAAATAATAATTTCTTTTCGTCCACGGTAAAAATATTGTCTATTGGCTGTACCTTGCTTTTCAGGATCATCTTCGTCAGGAGTCGGAGAGTGACGTCATCCTTTTCCTTACCCTGTAACAGTTTACATTCATAGCGATGCTCTTTACGACCTGCAACCTAGTAGCATAGTCATGGAATTCACAAGAAGTATACATATGAATAGGGTAGGAAGGAAATCAAGCAAATCAGGGGGTGAGAGTCAGAGAGACATGTAAAGACATATACACAGACAGACAGAAAGAAACAGAGACAAATAGAGAAAGAAAGAAAGACAAAGAGAGAGAGAGAGAGAGAGAGAGAGAGAGAGAGAGAGAGCAAATGAAAGAAAGGGCATATTCACTATGAACATGACAGACAAAGAAAGCAGACAAAATATACAGTTCCTCAGGTAGACAAAGGAACATCCCTTCACTGCTATTATGTAAAAAGGTGAATATGCATGTGACACCTGTTCTACACATTTTTACATAATAGCAATGAAGGGATGTTCCTTTGTCTACCTGAGGAACTGTATATTTTGTCCGCTTTCTTTGTCTGTCATGTTCATAGTGATTATAACCAACAGAGTACCAGCTAGATGGATGGTATTCAAATGCAATCCCCAGTACATACAGACATTAATCCTGCTGCAGAGGGGCATATAAGTAATTATACTTGAAGCCCAACAAGGTAAAAATCAAGGTAAAATACAATTCTATGTAAATTACAAAAAAAAATCACACTTATTCATTAAATCACTTTCTATAATAATAGATAATTATAAGAATGATTACAACTGGACTTTTAGAGCATTTAAGTCTACTAGCCAGGATAAAAGCTGAAATGGCTTCAAAACTTAGACAACCGCACTAATGGTCTAAAGTCACTACGATTTAGAGACCATTAAGCTTTTCCTACCACAAGGAGGCATCTCATACCTTGAGATATTAGAGTGTGTTATTAATATGACTTTTCAGAATCTCTATTAACAAGACTATCACATGTTTGAATGTTCATATTAAATTTGATTGCAAGTTTTTCCAAAAAGCAGATTGTAGTTGGATCATATATTATAGCATAGCTGCCAACATTTGGAATTTTCAATTAGTAACATTTAAGTAAAACTGAATATTACGTGCGCAAAGCGCACATCTATGTCAGACCTGCCAACCTCTGGAGTTCAAAAGCTGCATTCTTCAATCCCAAAAGTTGTATTTTACTGACAAACATTGTATTTGTATTTTTTTTTATGGATCATTGGTTGAATATGCATGATTACGTCATAACCAATAAACATCCCCAAATTGCCCATGTGAGGTGCTTGTAGGATACTTTACAGGACAGAATGGCATACCTGCCAACCACCCCGATTTAGGCGGAGTTCCTCCGCATTTTTCATACCAACTCCGAATTCCGAATGCATGCCTCAAAACTCCGATTTTTTTTAAATTTAATTTTTTTTTTTTTTTTTTGCACTTGGAGAGTATATAACTATTATGTTTGTATTTCGAAATGTAAAGCGCCTTGAGCATGTTCATGTAAAGGCGCTCAATAAATACCAATATGTATGTATGTATGTATAAGACTAAAGCATAACACAGCACTGATAACCAGATCACGCCAACATCCGCGCTCGCGCTCATAGAAGATATACACAGCGCAGCCCGAACGTGATCATTAGTTCCCCCCCCCCCCCAATCTACGGGCTACTACCCCAATCCTTCGGTGGTTCCCGACCTCGTAGTCCATCCAGAAAAATTTACTCCTAATTTCTCTTGTCTCAGGTTGGCAGGTATGAATTCGCATTTTGCTGTTGAAAATGGCACACACACAAAAAAAAATACGTGTAATTGTTTTTTGTTTTTTTAATTCGTAATAATAGAAAGGGTATTTGCAATTTCGTAGCGAGGGTGGGAAATTCGTAACAATTACAATTTTTTTGTAACAGTTGGCAGCTATATTATAGTGTGCTGTGGGCCGTACAGGGAGCTCACCTTGCATGCTTTGTTGCAATAAACCACTCTCTTGCAGGATTTACAGTTCTTTGACTCAACCTCACTAGAAGAAAATCAGGAAATGCGTGAAAGTGCTTATTACGTTTAGAATAAAAATACAATACACATATATTTAACCTTTACATTTCACTTCCATTAACAGATTGAAAAAAATCAAGCTCAGGAAAGGTCCAAAAGAACTGTGGATCTTACACACAAAAATACATAAATATCACCAAGGTGAAATCCACTGTAGAAAATATAAAGGAGCTCTTAAAAACAAAACAAATACTCTTTTATGATGCTCTCACCCTATCGAAAAGTTTAAACCCACTTACCAAAGGCCATGAAACTATTTTAAATGATTCAGCCTTTCTGGCCAAGTGTAAAATCAGGGATCTGGGACACCATTGTCATACTACCAAGTATTACTTAATTACTTTTCTTTTTCTTCACGACCAAGATCAATGCAATCTACAGTCTGATCTGCGACACTTGAGAAGGAATGTAGGAAACTAGGATAAAGTGAAGCTTCCCAATGGCAATGGATTTAAAACTATCTACTCATATAAACTTAAAGCCTATGAATATTGCCGTCTTCTATGGTCTCAATTGTGTCAAAATCTATCTAGGTCTAGACTGTATTATCTTCTCTTTTACGTTGACTTTTCCTTGTTTGTAAGTTTCTTTTGTTTACTTTGTTTCTCTTTTTTAATCTTTTTATTGCAACTTAATTGATTTCTTTCATTTCCTTTCGCAATGTGACTTTTTTTCTCCATCTTCTCATTCTTTTCTCCTTTTCTTCTTCTTCTTCTTCCATTGTAGTACATCCCTCTAAAAGAGTATTGTCGTACTTTTCAGTCTAGTCTTCTTCTCAATTTCTTTTTTTCACCCTTCTCCTCCTTATTTCCCTTTATTTCTTTCCCCTCCTTGAATTTTCTTCTTCCCTCTCTTAATTTTTGTCTTCCTCTTCTTCCTCATGATCATCTTTCATAAATTCATTCCACCTTTTCTCATCCTTTTTTTCTTCAAATTATCTTCCACCTTCTTTGAAGGAATTTTCTTCGCTATAGATCTAGACTATCTATCTCTGTTTTTATTTTTGATCTGGACGCAGCGCGCAGTGTACTAGAGTAGGTGTAGATCTAGGCTACATGGAATGTTGTTGTTGTTGTGTTTTGAGTTATTGGCGATTAGTCAGTGATTTGACTATTGTCGCCAAATTACTTTACGGCACGTGTTATATCTCTCAATTTTGGATTTTTTTAAAAATACATTTATTTCGTTTTATATTTATCTATCTTTTAAGATAGTATCGTAAAATAATATCGTAAGCAAAACATTCATGGGCTTTGTTAGTGTTTCTTAACAGTACGTGCAGATTATTTGTTATATCACATACACACCATACATAAATATGTATATAAGATAGCACCTACACAAGCTTCTATATTCAGTAATCTTATCATACCTTTTATCATTGTTGTTACTTTTTCTTATTTTATTTTCTTAATACATTATGTTATTATATTTTTAATGTACCGAGTGTAATTTAACATATTTATAATATCGTATTATGTTTTACTGTTCTTATTTTATTTTCTTATTACATTATGATTGTTATTATATTTTTAATGTACTGAGTGTAATTTAGCATATTATAATATTGTATAATGTTTTACTATTCTTATTTTATTTTCTTATTACATTATGTTATTATATTTTTAATGTACTGAGTGTAATTTAACATATTTATAATATTGTATTATGTTTTACTGTTCTTTTTTTATTTTCTTATTACATTATGTTATTATATTTTTAATGTACTGAGTGTAATTTAGCATATTTATAATATTGTATTATATTTTACTGTTCATCAAGGGAGGTATTACTTCCTGATAGGGAACCGTTTCGTTCTGAGAAAGAACCGTACAATAGCTTTTTGTATACTGGACTCACTCTTTTTTAAGTATTCCATAATTTTTTCAGGTTGGGATTCGTTAATTTCTGTTAGAAACATAGCCCTTTCTATAATATAGTTAGGGCAATGTACTAAAAAATGTTTTACAGTCTCTATTTCACTGGGGCATCTATTACAGAAACCAGTAGCATGAATTCCCAATCTGAGGAGATCCTGGTTAAGTCCAAGGACTCCAAAGCGGAGTCGATGTATTATTGTTGAATGTTGTCTCTCTAATGAGCATATATATGGTTTATTAACATCTTTTTGATATGTTTTCAAATACGAGTTGGTTTTGTTCCACCTTTCTTGCCAAAGGAGTTTGGAACTTGTAGTAATTAAGCTTTTCATTTCTGACATATTTAGGTTATTATTGACTTCTATTTTCTTTACTAATGCGGCCTTTGCGTGGAAATCCGCCATCTCGTTCCCTTTTATTCCACAATGTCCAGGTATCCACTCTACATATATATCAACTCCTTTATTCTTTAAGTGAGTAGTCATGGTGAGAATTTCCAGAATAAAAGATTCGTCCTTCTGTTGTTGTAATGCAATAAGTGCACTCAGTGAATCACTAAAAATAACAACCCCCACATAAATGTCTAATTCATCTACCCATCTGAGAGCAAGAATGATGGCAGCCAATTCAGCCCTGTACGAAGAGGTGAAATTTGCTAACCTTTTGCTCCGATGTACAGAATAGTAAGGGACGTAAAAAGCAGCTGCAGAGGTCCCTCTTTCAGGTACTTTTGATCCATCGGTGTATATATGTAATTGAGTCGCCCATTTAGTATGTATGATTTCCAGGCTGCTTTGTTTTTGTTGTGTAGGATGATCTGTTTTCTTTATTCGAGTACTTAATTCCGTTGACACTGCCGGAGGGTAGAATAACCATGGTGGAAATGGGGAGTAGGTTATCTTTTCTATACGTTTTCCCAGCTTGCTTTGTATTCTATATCCAAAAGGTTTGTTTACGTTTTTCCCCTTCAAGTATTCAAAATGCCAACATGGTTCAATGTTTTTTAACAACGGATGATTCGCCCATCTTTCGATGTTTTGTCTATATTTACTTGAAAGCATTTGTCTTCTTATATCCAAAGGCATTTCCCCCATTTCCACCTGTAGTGATTCTAAGGAGGTTAATGGCAGCCCACCTGCGCATATCCTCAGTGCTTGGTATTGGACAGAGTCAATGGCTTTTTTGGTGGTAGCAGCTGCACTGTCATACGCCTCACATCCGTAATCATAAGACGAGTGGGACTGTACATAGTTTACCTGGTATTTCCAAGAGATAATGCACGTAAACAATGGCCACATCTGAGCTGCAATTGTTCTTCATTCAAAATGTACACGTAAGGCTCATCTTCTAGAACACATGTACCGGCTTGAATTGTTGATACTGCTCTCAAACCTCTCCCTTTTAGAGAATCTGGCGAAAACACTTCCACAAGAGTTCCCATTTTTTTGTATACCATGGTGTCTTTGAGGGGAAAAGGATAAAATAAATGCTCCAGCAAAAGCTAATGCGTATTGCATTGTTTAGTGCTGTATACTCGCTGAGAGGCACTGCATTTACACACAATACACACCAGGGGCGGATCCAGCCTAGTCTGCAAGCACAAACCCTGGTCAGTCGTAAAAGAGAGTCTGCACTATAAGACTTTCATAGGCCATGTACTATAGCTGCTCCATAGAGATATATATATCTCTATGAGCTGCTCCAACCAGTAGGTAGCTGGGCTAGGCTTCTCTCAAGGCACAATGATTTTTGGGAAATTAGGGTCTGTGCTTGCAGACTAGATCCAGCCGGCGGCAGGGGAGAGGGCAAATTTGGGGGGGGGGGGGGGGGGGGGGGGGCAATTCGTGAGAAAATATTGAGCGGCGAAACAGCCAGCCGGTGAATAAGCGGGGGGGGGGGGGGGGGTCTCCAACTTAAAAAGTAAAATTAACGTGTTTTTACCTGATTTTTTTGGCCCCGGGCCCCCTGTGCCCCCCCCCCCCCCTGGATCCACCACACAATTGCACACTAATGCACACAATGAATACGAAGTGGCTGATCGGCAAATTTGACAGTTGACTCACGATATGAATTTTCAAAATATTCTTTTTAACATTGATATAGGTTGAACAGATTGTATTTTACTGCTATTTAGGTGTCATCAATAATTGTCATTAAAGTACCGACTTTGAATGAACTCAGTTGAGTTTTGTTCAGTGGTGTTTGAAATATTGAGAATCAATAGAACAGTGTTTAATACACAGCCAGGATAGTAATGCAGTTATGTGTGAATACAATACCTACCACGGCAATTACTCCGCGGTCAATTTAAATGTATTCAGAACACTAAAGTAACCCTGGTCCCTCTTTTTAACGAAATAAATCGTGAACAAATTACTGTAGACCGAAAAATCAGTCTAGTTATGTTTTTCTGAGCCTGAGACTACGTCTGGCTTATTAATCTGGTTTCACACAATCGAGTAGAGCATAAAAAAAACTTTTCGTTTAAACCCCTTCACACAGACTGATTTTTTTTTTTCTGTCAAGAACAACTGCAGCCAGCAGCACCCGTAAAACATGATTCAAAATTAATATGTATCCTGGGCGAAGTAAAAATGAAGGATATTGTAACATCGTAGTCTTTCAGGTCTAAAAAAAGAAAGATACAATAATTAAATATTTCAAGTCTACTGAGAAAAATGAACGAATGCAAGCAACATTGAAGTCTGGATAAGAAGGATGTAACGTTGGAATCATTCAAGTCTATAAACGAAGGATGCAATCATTAATGAAATCTAAAAAGGATGCAACAATGCAACATTGAAGTCTGAATACGAACTGGATGCATAGAAGGATAATAATGATAATGATAATAAAAATTAAAAAAAATAATAAAAAAAAATAATAATAGGCATTTCTATAGCGCCATCTATCTAGAAATTCTATTCCGAGGCGCATTTATTATTACCCCGGCATTTCAATTTCAATTTTAAGGAATTAATTCCTGCCAGGTACCCATTTACATTTACATCACCTGGGTTGAGTTTGGCAAATGTAGATCAATGTCTTGCCAAAGGACATTAGTGCCGCGGCGGGACTCGAACCGCGGACCTTGTGATCCACAGTCCGGCGACTTATCCACTCGACCACGACACCTCTAGGATGCAACGTTCAAGTCTGAATATAAACAAAAATGTAACATAGAAGTCTGAATAAGAAAGATGGAACGTGGAGGTATATACACAGAACACTTTTTTATTAGCGATACAAATTTCAGGTTCCTCAAAATGACTGAATAACAATTAATAGTATACAATCGGCAACTGCATGGAGCCAACAAACAGCAATTCATCATAACTTCATGTCAACAACTGAGCTATCACTGTACGGTATCTGAGTATTATTATTATTATTATTATTGTTATCTGCTGATTGTATATTTTGAACTTCCTTTGCAGTCAATGATATATGAATAAGAATACAATCTGAAACATGTACACATATATCAGTAGGCCTACATTATAATTACTTACACGATCTGGTTAAAACATACAAATCACAATGCTTATTCTACATCCTAATCAGATGTCAAATATATACTTCATAAATTTGAAAAGAGAGTTGTTTAACTCGTGATTTAATATTTATGATATAAAACTCTTAATTAGCTGGACAGAGTATTCAAGTATTAAATTAAACCTGTTAAAGTGGCCACCTCTCTGTAGTGGTCACTTATATTGCCTGCCTAAATATAGAACATTGTGTTGTAGAACCTGTTAACAAAGTCAGCTTGTCAGGTTTTCTGGTTAGCCATAATAGGAAGATTTAATTTCACTGAATAGTTTAGCCCTAAACATGTTTGTATCCTCAAGGCTGCTTCTATAGCATGACCATTACGATGCAAATTATTATTTCCTAGTGTGCTACTTTTATCATCAGGACAATAGCCCTAATCAATAATGCAGTGCTTTTCGCTGGCTCCAAAACTGCCCATCCCGATATATACTCCAATATGAGCAGCGCAATTATTGATCATGCTTTGTGACAAGTCGAATCGATCGCTGGATCTTTACGTAACGACCATGATAACATTTGATATCTGACCATAGAAACTTTTGATGAAATAACCTTTCACATCAGACCCAGGGGTAGCTTATTTCTTGACACGTCGACCCAAAGAATGGTTATGACGCCGGTTATATGACGTCAAATCAAGTACTCATCGGCCTACTTATATTTCTGGTATGAAGTCTCCCCTTATAAAACATAGGTTCACAGTGGGCTTCTTTTTAATCTATATTTTGTCTCCATACCAGAAATATAGTGATAGGTAGTTCCCGGTGGTATGCTAAGATTAAATCTAAATAATTTTCCCTCTAAATTTATTATACTAACCTCCTTCTATACGGATAAACTCCATAAGTTAGTTTCTTACATACTTTAACTGCTCTAAATTACCATCAATAATCTATAGTTTTTTTTTGTATGGCTCTCGAATATTCAATTTTGAAATCTTTTTAAGTTGTCTGTAAAAAAATACAATGATATGGTTAAACTCTGCAGTTCTTTGAGGTTTTAATGGTTTTCCTTATTGTCTCCCTTTCATTTTTTCAATTTGTTGGGGTCTTATAAGCATAGGATTTTCAAGCCTGTCATCTTTAAAGGGAAGAAACTATTTACATTTGTGGTATTGTTGTTTTTGCCTAGATAATAGCCGCATGATTCTGTCTTGCTGTTTATAAAATTCAGTGTCATTTTTCTTCACCGGCTCATTTCCAACTAGTCATCCAACAATATGTATTATCATGACTTGAAATCGTGAACAGTTTTAAAAACCTTTCACAATTGAAGTAAAAGTGGGCTAAATAGTGGCGCAGTCATATGGTGAACTTTCCTCAAATATGGGACCTTAAATGCATCATTTAACAATGTTAAATCTGAGATGCACAGCCCTACGTGTTATCAGTGTCTATGATGTAATATTGAAGCCCTAAAAAAATGATCAAGAAGTGCCTCAAAAAGTAAAAAATCTTGAAGTTACCTGTTTTACCATACTTGTTTGAAAACCGTTTGGAAAACGCAAAATTTGGTTTCGATTTCCAATCATAAATATCTTGATAATCAGACAGACGATCGGCTTGTAAAAGTCATGGCATTCCTGACTGACCTAAAGGTTTATAAGTATCATCACAGCATGAGGTAAATCCAGGATTTTGTTTCAGAATCTGAGACAAAGTTACCAGATCCCTTTAAAGATTCATCAAACTGTTTTGAGTACAGACTAAGTATATCGGCACCAGCTTGAGACGGCGGTGCTAAGGAGTAATCAATCATATCGATTCGATCTTATCTCCCCGTTTCCAATATCTGATGGTACACATCGAGATGGGCTCTTTGCAATCCATTGTTCTCTGCAACTCCTGCCTTTGTCATACAAATATAAAAAGGAGTATTCCAAACCACGAAGATCATCAGTACGAGGTTACGCACTAGTTTGCTGTTAGGAACCTTGGGCATCGTTCGTATCACCGATCTGCTGCCTAATTTTCATCTTTTTGAGGAGTAAATTCGATTGGAAAAGATGCGTTCTTGGACCATCGTGGCCATATTGGCCCTCTATTTAACAGTCGTTAAGTCAGCAGGACCAGTACAGACAGAGGTAAGTGACTTTGATAACTTTATGGCAACGTTATTTTCATGATATAATGTTGATGTCACTAAGACAGCTTGATGTCGCCGCAAATTTGGATCGATAAAGGTGCGCCATTTTGCCTTGCGTAGCCTTTACATGTTTATGGAAAAATGGAAAAGAGAACATCAACAATTCCTTGAAGTTGGTCACTAAAACTGGGCTATTTACATATTAATTTTTGTAGTCGTCTCGCTTTCAACTTTTCAGTTTTCTTCTTCGTTTTTTCCTTCTTCGCCAGTGTTCTTCAACTTTTATGAACTCCCTCTATTCGACTCCACCTTTTCATTTCCTTTTTCCTTCTTTTTCATCTATCTTCTTTTTCTTTTCTTCTTCTTCTTCTTCTTCTTCTTCTTCTTCTTCTTCTTCTTCTTCTACTTCTTCTCCTCCCCCTCTTCCTTCTCCTGCTTTTCTTATCTTTATAGAGTGGTGAAGTGTGACGTCATCTGAAAATCTATTTTTTTAAACTTCTCAATTTTCCGAAAGAGCTTCAGAAATAATGTCCAAATGTCGAAACCAATTGAATATGTTAAGTATTGGCTGAGATATGACCATCTGAATAAATAGATTTCCTTTGGGAACTCAGTGTTATATTGCTCTAATTTAATGAAACGTGCAAAATAAATTCAGACAAGGATTAACAGTAATAATTAAATGAAGTGTCAAAGCTTCCGCGCTTCACGCGGGGGGGGGGGGGGAACTGAATTCAGACAAGGACATGATACAGCGAATCGTCTTCTTTCTCTAATAATTTAATGAAACGTCAAAGCTTCCGTGCTTCGCACGGGAGAGGGGAAACTAAATTCAGACAAGGATTAAGAGTCGAGAACGGTACAACGAATCGTACCCTTTCTTACTAATTATATGAAACGTTATTGCTTCTGCTCTTCACGCGGGAGGGTGAAACAAGAATTAAAAATCAGGAACAGTACAACGAATCGTCTTCTTTCTCTAATAAGTTAATGAAGTGTCAAAGCATCCCCGCTTCGCGCGGAGGGGGGGGGGGGTAAACTGAAAAATAACTTAGTTCCCTGGCCCCGGGTTAATCGGGTTAAATTTGTAGACATTGGGACATTGGTATCAATATATTTGTCGGTAATTGGTGGCTAGTTCTGTCGGTTATCGGTGGCCTCTACACCTCCCCCCCCCCCCCCCCCCCCCCCACTAAAAAAGGTCTAGCGACGCACCTGATAACAACACAGTTTATACACTCGAGATCATTTTTGCAAGTAATACTGGTGAAGTACCAGACCGCCGTCTTTGTGCATTGTGCAGCAACGAAGTACAACGTATCGCGTAGTGACAGATCACTTTTCTCTAACTTATAACCAATCAGAAGACCTCGTTTTTTTTTCTCCAGAAAGTGCCTTTGGACATTAATGCGCCAAGTGTGGTTCTCAAATTGCCAAAGATCCCTACTCTTGGAGGGAGTAGGAGAGAGCAATTTTACGTCATATTACTCCAGGAAGTGCCTAAAAATGCGTCCAATGTATTTCTAAAATTGCAAATGCTTCCTACACTTCGAGGGGATTCTGACCCCCTCCCAGACCCATCCCGCTTGGTCGCTCCGCTCCCTCGCCGCTGACGCCTCGCTGTCTCTCTTCGCTCCATCGTTTATCATATATTTCAACCCATGTGATTTTGTCCCCCCCCCCCCCCCGTAAGAAATTCCTGGATCGGCCACTGATACCCCTACAATAGTCACTCCCTATTTTGTTGTCCGAAGGGGTATGGGGGAGGGGGTAAATGATGGATCTTGGGATAGTTGTCGTGGACAATGAATCGGTGGGTAAATATCGGGGGGGGGGGGGGTTGTCCTAAGAGGTAAATGTCGGTGCAGCGGCGTTTCCAGACTCCGGCCTAAAGAGCGGCGAAATAGCTGTATAGTTCTGCAAGGAAATCACTTTGTGACTGCCCTTAGTTTGTATTATAGGGGGTGGGGGGGGGGGGGTAACATCCAATTAAACTTATTTTCAGCAGAGAGTGGGAAACTGTTGGAATGAAAGCATTGGAAGCTTTAGAATAATCCAACACAGGACAAAATAACAGATTGAGCGAGAAGGGAAGGTAAACAAGCGAACTTTTTGTAATATTTCATTTTAATTTACAGACGGTTTCCTTTTCCAGTTGACAGAAATCTGTCAGAGGGGGAAACTTGCCCCCTTGCCCCTCAAGCAGATACGCCAATGTGCCTGGGTTAAATGTCCTAGATTCCCTAGCCAGGACATTATCTCTCTCTCTCTCTCTCTCTCCCTCTCTCTTACCCCCTCTCTCTCTCTCTCTCTCTCTCTCTCCCTCCCTCTCTCTCTCTCTCCCCCTCTCTCTCTCTCTCTCTTTCTCTCTCTCACACTATGGATACACCTCTGTCTATTATCCTAAATAAATGACCCAAAATTGTTCTCTTTACAGGATGAGGTAGCAGAGCAACACGGTCCCTCCACATCACAGAAGGAGGCTCTCCGTGAGAAGCAAGCCCATTTCCTCGAGCGTGCCAAGGAGATCAAAGCAGATGACAGCATGACCGATGAGGAGAAGCAGAAGGAACTTCACAAGCTGAGGGAACACGCCATGCTCTACATGGGCCCCCACGCCATCCTCCCCCACGCCCTCATGCAGGAGTCACCCATCCCAGCCGTGGAGGAGAAGAGACAACAACTAATCCGATCGGTAAGATCTTTTTGTTTAATTGTTTTGTGTTTAAATCAATAAATATGATTCCATGTTGCCCCTAAAATAAATCGATAAACATATTAAAATTCTGTTTCAATATGGCACCATGCCATCCGCTCACGCGGCCTCATGCAAAACTCTCAAAATTGCCCCGCCATAAATATTTATAACAATATTGATAATGAAATATGGGGAGGGGGAGCCATCCTGCCACTCACCCTCATCCAAGAATCGCCCCTCCCAGTGATGGAGGAGAAGAGGCAACAGCTGGGGGGGGGGGGGCGTTTCACAAAACTTGTCATCAGTGACAAATGACAGTTTGTGTTATAAGCTACTGAAATACTTGTTTCTGATTGGTTATCAGCAGATTTGTCACTGATTTTAGTCACTTGTCATCAGGCGCGTACGCAGGATTTTGTCAAGGGGGGGGGGGGGGTTTAACATTTATAAATCTGATTAAGCGGGGGGGGGGGGGGTAAGAGGTCACTTTTTTTTCTTTCTTTTTTGTCCCAAAAAAAATCGCAACGACTCAGCCAACCGCTGAATAAGCGGGGGGGGGGGGGGGGGGGGGGGTAAGAGGACACTTTTTTTTTTTTTTGGTCTCGAAATTTGAAAATTTGACATTTAGCTCCGTCGGGGGGGGGGGGGGTTTACACACACAAAATTACCAAAGGGGGGGTTTAACCCCCCAACCCCCCCCCCCCCCCCCCCCCCTGTGTACGCGCCTGCTTGTCATTACAAAAGGCTTTGTGAAACGGGTCCCTGGTCTGCTCGGTAATATCAAAATGAGACACTTTGTAATATCAAGAAATGATACTCAAAGTTGCCCCCCCCCCAAACATAGAATAAGCAATACAAATAAAGTGTTGTAAATTAGAGGCCCTCACGCGAAAATGTGTGCCCATACGTCTGTGTGTACGATGATTGGAAAACAAATCCTCTTTGATGAAATTCCGACTGGGGTGACGCGAATCTTTTTTACTCCTAAAATGGTGCCGTGACTAGGAATATTCTCAGTACATTTGCTGGAAGGCTGATAACATCCAAAAACATTTGGCACTATATAATTGACTTTTCACCAATCTTATTTCTTTTTATTTAATTTCAAAGATTAATTAAGAAAAAAATGAAAATGCCGTGACTCCTGAGTAGTAAGCGTCTATAAAAAACAACAACAATATAATACGTGAATGTATTATATCCAGTCAAAGCTAAGCTTGAGCTCTAGTATGGGCATCGTTTGACGAGTGAACATGGCCATAATTTATTCTGGATTTGTTTATTCTGCAATAGATTGATTGTTTGAACCAGTAAAATAAAAACAACCTCACAAAAACTTGGCTGGAAAAAAGATGGGAATCATCTTCAATAAAACTCGCAGCTCTCATTTGTAAATAGTGACTTGTGTTTAATAAGCACCTGGTGTCGGGCCTGCGCACCTTGATTTCCTTATCTTTCTATTTTCAATACTCTACCAAAAAATGTTAGGCACATGTCATTTTGTTGTAATCTTTAACAAACAGTGTCAGCTTTTTTGGATTCTGTGAGAATTGATTTTCTATCATTACCAGAACTCAAGCTTGTCTTTAAAGTCACAGGAAAAGAAACATTATTCTATCCGGGTATGATGTTGTATAGTACATGCACGTTGTTCAAATTCCACCTCTTATGGTTTCCTCTCTTCCCAGGTCGAATCCGTGGCCATCAGCGACCGTGATTTCGAAGAGAAGAAGCGCGAGCTCGAGATCATCCGTGATCGTTTCAAGGAGGAAATCAATGCGATCCATCAGCACCTGTCCGACGAAGACATCAAACAGGTCCGCTCCAGCATCAAGAAACGCGGCGATGCCAACGCATACAGGCAGATGATCCATGATGGCATTCGCGGCTCCATGGAGGCTGAGCCCCGTAATCGTGCTTTCAACGAAGCCGTCTATAAGGGCATGCAGAAGCTGACAGCGGGGTTGAAGAACAAGGAGGCGGGCGACTACCGTAAGCAGATGACCGGCAAGCGGATGGCCGACGCCGGCAAGAAGGCGGAGAAGAGGCGATCGGCCAGGGAGTCCAAATCCCGCCCAGATCTTTTCTAAAGAGATTTCTACGATTCGCGCTTTCGTGTGAAAACTGCGCTAAATAGTGTGGCCCTACAATATTTGATTTTCGATGAATATTATTTTAGGATTTCAGCCAGGAAAAAACACATACTTTTTAATCATCCGCCCGAGTATAATGAGATTTGTATAGTATAAATGATTAGTGTAACTAGAGTGATTATATCTACTATTATAATAAAGTCAAGCTGCGTGCGGTCATTTCGGGTAAATATTAACGATCGCTTCAAACCCTCTATAAACTTTATCGGAACAAACACATACATAAGTATATCAAGTATTGAATACAAATAATTCCAAAATGGCTTTCGTGTGACGTGATATCGTATAGTTCTTTTCCTCTTCACCCTCATGTTTTCATGCAATAATCCATTTTGAAACTACGTCTATTTGTAAAACAAAAGAAAAAAACACCATGAGAGATTGAACATATTTTTTAAATAATTTACTTGAATCTCACATTTATAATATAAATAAACTTTAATTTTAAGTTAAAAACAACAGTTTTGACGAATATATATATATTTCTTATTGTATACGAATTTTACAAAATGTTCGATGTTCAAAATACTTATGTAGTTCTAAATATATCAGTCTAACCCGAATAAATAGTACATACACAACAAATCAATGATGCTCTACTTGTCTAGTTATTGGGTGAATATGATGTTACATACTTGATTATATATTACTGTCAGAAGCCAAAACTAGATTCGTAATAAAGGCCATAATTATAAAGGTCCAAAAGAATATATTCTTGTTCGATATGATGAATATTATAGTTATACATGTAGTAGAATAATAATGATGATTGAAATAATGATAACAATAGTAATGACAATAATAATAATAACAATGATAACAATACTGAAAGCAATAAAACTACTATTTCTAATATAGATGATAATAATAATACTAATAATAATACTGATTGTATTACTACTAATAATGATAATATAAATAACTTAAATGATAACGTTTTAATTTTCTATTCAGTTTACAACAAAAAAAGTATCAAAAGCAAACGGAAGTATGAAGCAAACAAATTCAATATACACCTTTTTATGAAAAGGAAATGAATACAGTCATGAAAAAAATAAATCTTAAACTATTTTTTTAATAAGTATGACATAAATATCTATTACTTTATGATAGCCAGTAATATTTTCACCTTATTTCACTTTTTAATCATGACATCATGATAGTTTTTCCTTTAAAAATCTACACTTTTTCTATTTACGCAGTTCTGTTAATATCATCCCTAACTATGGGAGAAAAACAAATATTCATAAATCAAAGTGATTTTTTTTTTCAGTCGTGTAACAGGTGCGAAACATATGGTCGACACGACACAAACCAATAGACTCTCCAAACAGCAGTTCAGGAGAGTCCTTCAAATACGACACAATAAATCAATATCCGCACCTAATTATTCTACTCGATTATGACGGTGGTAAAAGAACGTAAAACAATGAAGTAGCTATGCGTTGTGCCTATAGTACATTCTAAATAATATGTATTTTGCATTTCACTACTATTGAATTATAAATTATCAATTCGTACACACGGTATTTCTGTTACAAAGGGAAATCCAACATTTACAAGCTGAAATGGGTGGAAGCGCTAATCCATGCTTTACAAAATCTTAGGAAAAGAGTGATTTAATTTTGTAACCTCTAGTGTAGAAATGCTCATCTAGATGAATACACAACATGTTTTACTCTTATTTGGTCTAAAACTAAACATCCTATACCTCGGAGCATTTCGACGGCAATGTCTCATCAATTATAAAAATCCATGTCAAATGTTGAATAAACAAGTGTAATTCAGACTTTACTGCTTTCCGAACAGAGAAACTGCGTCTGCAAATACCTCTGTATGTTGGAAATTATTGAATATTCTTGTACCAACTTGCTCGTAAGTAGGTTTAGAATAATGGATGTCCTTATCTATCATATAAACCATTAACTCTGTTGAACATCTATTTTTTACGAATGGTGTTATGACTACTATATAATACGTAATAATAAATAATGCACGCCAGGGCCCTGTCTTTATAAAAAGAGATGCGATTGATATCAATTGCAACTTTTTTAATAAGACGGGGCTCAGGAATGTCCGATTGGGGCACGAGCCCTTTGACCCCCTTTTAAAGCCACCGTGGTGTTTATAAACCTTCGTTGAGGCAATGGCGACCAGTTTGGCCCATAATGACATTGTAAATGTGCATAATTTCGGTAGGATTGACCCCATATATATACATCATAGTTTTATAATGACATACATTGGACGGCCTCCTGGGATGAACGAAATGTTTGTCGTTTTTAGGTTCGACGTGGAGCGTCGATGCCAGTATTCCAATGTAGGAGTCATCCATGGCGATCGGGACAATACTGTCGAAGAGGGGCACCATTCGGTAGACGACGTCCGTAGAAAGCATGTAAGTCGGCCCGCCAACCATATCCGGGAAGTACTCGTCCTTAAAGTCGTAGTAGGGAACAAAGTGAGGGTCAAACGAATCTCGAATCGGGTCATCATTGCGGATTACCTTGCCAACGTATACATCCGTTTTTTGTTTAAAGGTGTTATATATCCAGCTTGTCAGCACCCGGGTGTTGACGAATACATGAGAGCCAGTCTTGAGGACATACGACGGACGACACGATGGATTCGAAGTCTGGAGGTCATGCAGCCACTTCATCGACATCATGACTTTCCTTGTCTCTTCAGCTTCAAGGTCGGCAAAGTCACCCTGCAGGATGTCACGGTTCTCAGCGTTTTCCTTTATGATATCAGTGTCGGTTTTACCACTTCCGGTGGCAAAGACAACCCACCAGGTCAGGTCGACTTCTGCGATGCCACGAACGTTAAACCTTTCCGGATTGCCCCACGTCCTGCGGATGTTCTTTCGAGCATTGGTCGCATAGGTTTGAGAAAGGACAATTATGAGAACGAAGCGCTTGCGAGGGCACAATGTGGGATCTGGCTTTTGGAGTAGAGTCACTGGAAAGTCCTTCGGCCTGGGCTTAGGCTTCATATCGGCCACGTCATGGGCTTGCGGATTGATATGCCTGTTTGGTTTAAACTTTGGTAGTTTAGGTTGATTGTGTGGGTTCATGTTATGCTGTTCAACGGCCCGGTAGTCAGCGTTGATTTCATGAGGAACCTGCAGGGGGTAATCCTTCTTATGTTGATTGGGTTGTCTTCCTAGAACATCAGGGAAGTCTGGAGCTATGTCTTTTGGATTGATATCGCTTAATTTACCACGGTGGTTTAAGATCATCCCGGCTTCTGGACCAATGGGCAACACTTTAGGTGGGCTTTTACCCAAAGACTTGTGATGTGGGGCGGCTTGTCTAATATCGGGCACTTCATCTCCGACTTCGAAGTCGTTATCAGGTACATTACCATGGTCTGGAGCTATGTCTTTTGGATTGATATCGCTTAATTTACCACGATGGTTTAAGATTATCCCGGCTTCTGGACCAATGGGCAACACTTTATGTGGGCTTTTACCCAAAGACTTGTGGTGTGGGGCGGCTTGTCTAATATCGGGCACTTCATCTCCGACTTCGAAGTCGTTATCATGTACATTACCATGCCGATCTTTAAGCTGTCCGTTTCTTTGGGCAACCTTTCCAGGTTGATTTTGAAGTCTATGACCTTCATTTTCATTTTCGTTGTCGTCATAAATCTCATCCTCCTCATTTTCCGAGTCAAAACGATTCTGTGGTTGAAATCTATGTTTACTCTTTTCTATATGCTCCTTTTGCTGCTTGACTCGAACTTGGTCCTCTTTTTCGGGAGATTGTTTGATCCACCACCCCTACCCTGTGGATTAAATTGATCTTCATCTTCGTGTTCATTTGTATCTGAATTCTTAATGTTCATTCGGTCTAATCTTTTCTCTTGATCTATAAATCCAACATCATCACCCCTACCATCATCGCCATCCAATTCTACTCGTCTATTCAGACCATCGAATTTCGGATTCACGTTCTCAAACATGACTTGATCCGCTCCGTCACCTTTTCCAAATCCCTCCGCCTCTCCATCAGTTCTCCAGTACGCGAGGTAATAGATACAGAGCGTTGCCAAGGCAACGGAGACGGTGAAGATCAGTCCATTCCATTTGGAGCCTCGTATGTTGGTCCTGTAAAAGTAGGAGGATTTAAATCCTCCTTTCGGTTTCCCCTCGTCGTACATGGTGCCCATCTGTCCAACTATTGGGTGTTGCGCCCGAGAATGCAGGGTTGTCGTCTCACTATGCATTTGTTGAATTTCAGGTCACATAAAAATTGAAGCTGATACGAATATTTCCTCTTTTACGAAACGTTAGTGCTTAGAACTTGATATAATTTGAGCAGACTCTTTTCGTGCGGATGCGATAACAATCCAGCACCGAACTGTGACACAAGAACTTCCACTGTGATGATTCACACAACATTGCAAACTTACATGGTTAGCATGATGATCACGCGGCGGGAGATTTTGTTGTTTTGCTCAAAATGATGACATGATTGGTTATTGATAGCAACTGACGGCATCTAATTTGGCTCAATAGCAACTGAAATTTAGACACGTGTCCTTAAACACGACATCTGGTTTAGCTGCGAAACTCTCCCCTCATCTAGTTTTATGTATTAATGCTGAGTGAAATAGGGGCGTCACCAGAAACGTTTTATGAAGGGGATTGTCGGACTTGATCTGCTGACCGACAAGTTTGATAAAATCTTCTAACAAACGAGAACGATTCATACGTCTCTCAGCAAGGGGTAGGGGCTGGGGTTGTGGTTGGATGGGGCTCCCTAATTGACACATTTATGGATATAAGAGTTACGGATTGGACCTGCAACATACATATGAAAAGGTTGGGCAATATTTTCCAACACTTTGCCCAACGTTGTGCCAATAGTCAACCCAACCATCTATTGGGCAATATTTTGCCCAGTGGTATTGGTAAACGTAAGTACGTGCATAATTGTTTCGTATTTTGCTCAACAGCTGGTCAAAATTTTCCAAACAATTGGACTACCATAGTCGGGCAGTTAAAGGGTCATATCTCTGCCCACATTTTGGTCAAAATACGAAACAATTATGCACGTGTGAAGTAGGGTACTTACGTTTACCAATACCACTGGGCAAAATATTGCCCAATAGATGGTTGGGTTGACTATTGGCACAACATTGGGCAAAGTGTTGTAAAAATATTCCCCAACCTTTTCACAGTGTAACAGTGTAACAGTAGGACGCCCCTGGATGAGGGCCTGTGGATAGTGGGGTGGGACTGACAAAGGAGGGGATCGTGAAAGAGGAAAGGAGGGTAATGTTGTTAGTAATATATATAAATATAGAGAGAGGAAGTGATAGAGAGAGAGAGAGAGAGAGAGAGGGTAGAGACAGAGGGAGAGAGAGACAGAGAGAGAGAGAGACAGAGAGAGAGAGAGACAGAGAGAGAGAGAGAGGGTAGAGAGAGAGAGAGACCGAGAGAGAGAGAGGGTAGAGAGAGAGAGAGAGAGAGACAGAGAGACAGAGAGAGAGGGAGAGAGAGAGAGGAGAGAGAGAGAGAGAGAAGAGAGAGAGAAAGGAGAGAGAGAGAGAGAGAGAGAGAGAGAGAGAGAGAGAGAGTGT